TTATATTAATTTAAATAACAGCAAAATACTGTTATATGAATATAAATAACAGCAAAATGCTGTTATATCGCTACCCAATGGCGTTATATTCGAAAATCAAGCTAACGGCATAATTTGCCGTTATATTTTTTTAAACCTGTTTTGTTTTTATTCAACTAAAATTTAAACTAACCATTTATATGCGTAGATTATATATCTAATTAATAACAATAGTTTGATGTATTTAACATTATGATTACTTATAATGTATTCATTACTAGTGAGGCATAAAATATATATTACAAAATATTTTTTATTTATACAATGACGAAATAAAATCACTTTAACATAATTGTTAATAAAACAACGCAAATATACCTTGTAAAAACTAATTTCATATCAATGATAAGAATCTACTTATAATTATGTAACTGCTCAAGCTAAGAAATAAGTTTCATATTTTAAAACATGTATCAATAAATACATTTAAATCAAAACTTTAAAACCAATTATTTCAATGAAAGCTTTATACCCCAACTTGTTTTATTTTTTTTAAAGTAACAACCTAAATATAAAATGAAACATTTAATAAAGTAATAAAACATTTTAATAAAGTAAGTAACTAGCGTTACTTAAAAACATCACAAACTGTTTTTGAGCAATATAAGAGAAAGTCTTTTTTGATTTTTTTTCAAATCATTCGTTTAGCAACATCTCTTGAAAAAGACCCAGTTGTGAAAAAGAAGATGGATAAGAGAGGTCTAACAAATAGTATATGCAAACAATAACGCATAAAACCTCTTTAATCGTCCGTAACTCTGTGTCGATCATTTCACACCCGGATCTACAGTGAACGCCATAATGTGTTAAGTTATACCGAACTTGCCGACTTTGTAGGTATCTTCGACTCATCGAGCCTCAGACTTAAAAAAAAACAAATCAAATTTTAATTATACAATTTCTAAAGATTTAATTTAACTCAATTATTTTTCAAATATTTTCAAAGATTTCGTTGTACCAAATTAAACCATTGCAATTCTGAACAAATAACTAAAGATTTTATTGTAATCTTTTCAGCTACTATTTCATGAATTTCATTCTTTTCAGCTTTTAATCTGTTTTTGAATTATAAGACAAAAAAAAAGTGCTTTATTTTTTTATGCTAAGTTTATACTGAAATGTACATCTTGTATAAATATTTGTAATTTGTAACAAATAAATAAATTCTACATTAAGTAGATTATTTAATACAAAAAGAATATAGATATTTTTATAAATTTATTATATAAAATCATTAAAAAGAATCAATATCTTATGTTACTTCAGATTTCTTAAACAAGACATCCTTTGCTTTTTTAGAACCTATTTTAGATTGTAAATCAAGCAAACTTTCAAGGTGATTTAAAATTCTACAAATGTTTTATTAACAAAAAATGTACACGCTTCTTCTATAAAACTATACTGTAGGGAAAGCTGCTAAACTCAGCAATAATTAAACACGGAGATAGTGACAATCGAAGCAGGAGTTTTTCATATATTTTCTGTTGAAAAAGATTTCTATTTAAAATTGCAAGAACAAATTGATAGATGAGATTTTATTAGCTCATTTTAAAAAATATAAAATTAAAAATACTGTAAAATTTAAAATAAACAATAAAGTGCTCATAATCACTTAAGCGGCAAAATATTTTATAAGTTGTATAAAGTAACAACAACTTCAAAACAAAGCTGGTCTTCTGAAAGCACTAATTCAGCTTTAGATAAAGAATCTATAATATAAACCTGTTGAAACTGTCTACTTGCAGATCCATTTAAAGTTGAATGACTTTTGATCCGACCTAGTTGCCTAACTATGTTTGATACCTGGCTTGAAAGCGAATCCTCAGAGAATTTATCTTTAAAAAATTATAAATACAACAATAACAAAAGCACTATACGCATGCATCATAAACACACCTAACAAATATTGTAGGGTAATTAAAATAATTCTTACCCAAGGTTCCAAACAGTTTTGAAAATTTAAAAGAAGTGTCCACTGTCTGAAGAAAGAGGAACTTGAGAATACTAGAAAATATAATTTTTTAGCTACTCTTTCAAAATAAAATTGTTTTTACTTATAGTTTATTACCATTTGTGGTGTCTTGGAAGTGTTTTCAGATGCACCATATTGTGCAACTAATGAAGATAATTGTCTTACCGGAGGCTGGACAACACTCACACAAAATTCTCCAGCCATATATTGGTTTTCAGAGTTCCAAGATATTTTCTTTGGTGGAACCACAAAATCTACACAATTATTTAAAATAGATGAAAATTGGCATAATGAAGTTGATGTCAGCTTTATTTAAATCAGATTAAAACCTAATTTTTTGAGAGTTGGATATATTGTTGTCAATACAAGCTGTGGAGCTTGAATCATAAGCTCTAAATTTTGTACATTAAGAAGAGCAGTAAAACTATTAGCAGTTACTTAACAGCTGTTTCAATTGACTTCTTCAATCAAATAGAAAAATTGAAGGTTTCGCGAACAAAAATGTAAAACAATGTGAATATAACTTGGCATCATTGACAATCATTTTTATTATTAATTCAAATCATTATAATAAAAAAGAAGTGACAAATGTTTTGGTGCTATAATTTTATTTTAACAGTTTGAAGTAAGTTATAAGGTATTTTTAGATTTTGATTTGAAATGATACTACAACACATGACTTGGTTTTCTAATAATATGCACGTTATTTAGTTATAACAGAATGCATGATCGTTTTCTAATGATAATTTTCAATTTAAATTGAAAATACTCAATAGTAGGGGAGACCGGGGCTAGTTGGCTCGGTTTTTACTCTATGAGCTCTGTAGCCCTAATAGCACACTTTTTTGAAAATATTAAAGTGTAGTCTCAAAGCGTATGAACTTGGGTAATTTATAAAAGTTTCATGGATTTACAAAAAAAAATTCTTGGGGCCTTACGGGGCCCTCAAAAAAAAAAAAAAAATTGCGCCAACTTACCCCACCACGGGGTAAGTTGACGCAAACTATAAACGTGATTATTAATGTACTATTAAGTGCAAAATTAATAGAAATTTTTTACCTATTAATTTTGGCAACAATTTAAGCTAATAATTTGATATTATTTTTAGCTTGTGCTAAATATTAGTACGTATAACAGCCAAAACAGCAGCCCTCTTTTTACCTGTTACAAAAAACCTAAAAAAAAAATTTTTATAATTTTTTTGTAAGAATAAGTTTTTTCAATATTGTTAAAAATTAAAAAAATTAAAAAAATTATTTTTATAAAAATAAATATTTTTCTCCATAGTAAATGCTATGAGCCAACTTACCCCGTAAAAATTTTGTCAACTTACCCCGAAGGCTTTTTTTTCAATAAACAGTCTATAGATCCTGAAAAACGGCAACTTTTAAAAAAAGTCAAACTAAATATAGTAAACCAATTGTGGCTAGAACTTTTACAATAATTTTTTTTCCATTTGACTAACTATTTTCTTTGTAAAGTAAAAAGGAAGCGATGTTTCAAAAGTTACGTTTTTGTCCAAAAAACACTTAAATCTTAATATCCCCCATGCGCATGCGCGAATCCTGACAATACTACATTGAATGATGAAACAGTCAATTAGGAAGATTCTGTGTAATTTTTATCACTTTCTGATGAAAGGCTTTAAAGATAAACGCAATTCGTCAACTTACCCCTGCGGCCAACTAGCCCCGGTCTCCCCTACAATGAATTAAAATGCTTAAATTTCATTGCATTTTCTACGACATTTTTTAAATAAAATATACCTACCAGCTGCACAAAGTACAAAGAAATTACTGCTGATGGCAATAACTACTTCAGAGTTTTCTTTAAAACTAATTTACATTGCTTTAATTTCATTTTCCTTTCACTTTTACCAGCTCTTGATACCGCTTTACAGACTATTGTGCCAGTTTCAAAACTTTTTATTTATTGCATTGATATTTTGCTGGTATATTTGCTGTCACGTGTGACATCAAATATAACAGCAAGTATAAATGTAAAATCATCAGAGCAAATATAACAGCAAACATCTTTAAATTTAACACCATAACATAACTCCATAACATAACAGCAAATATAACACCATTATAAGGTCAAAATTGTTTTGTCTCAATCAATTCCTTCGGATCCGTGAATATAACAGCACATATAACGGCTTAACAGAATGTGCTAACATAAATGCTGTTATAATGCCGTTAGTTTTTTTTAGTGTGTACATAATACTTTTATATTTCATAGGTTATGGCTAAATGAACACGTTATAATTGAGTAAAAATACTGCTAAAGATCAAACTGATAACTGGAAATATAATTTGCGTAAAACTTGGATATATATATATCCAGGTTCTACGCAAATTATACTTCCTATATTATACACTATACAAGACAATATCTATAGATATTGTCTTGACAATATCTATAGATATTGTCTTGCCTCAGTTTAATTGTTTAAATTAAACCTTGCAGACAATGTAGAATCTTCAAAAACCGCTGTCGATACAGCTTCTACTAATTTTCCTTGTGTAAAAATAACACTATTGCTTATGTAAGCGTGATTGTTTATGTGTGTGTGATTGTTCGTACAATTAAAATCTTAGTTATTGCCAAACGGGCTCTGGAGCACTATCTTCCCAGCCAATACAACTCAGAAAAAAATGTTACACTTGGTTTCTGTTTCGTGTTTAAAACCTTTTAAAACGAAAAAATTAACACGTGTCAAAATTGGTTTTCATTTCGTGAAATTACCTACCTAAATTACCTATTTACCATAAATACCAGTTAAAATATTAACGGTTTTACCGTTACGGAAACATAGTATTATATTATAACTACTTTCCGTATGGAATATGAAACACTGATAAAAGCATGCGACATTTAAATTTGACTTTAAAACCTCAAAAAATACGTGCTAAACTTGAGTAAAAATGCTAGTAATATACAGGTGTTTTTGATTTACGCTAGGATCGTGGCAGACGCGTGTTTGTTTGTTGTACTTTCATAATTGCGCAGTTGTGATCTTTGTACACATATTTATAAAAATATTTTAATACTTGCATAGAAAGCAAAAGTTTACATTATTATGGCAATTATATTTTTTATAGAAATATAATGGTTGTATCAAACAATTCATTTGTCGCCAATAACGTGTTTTTTCTTTAAGTTCCAAAACTCCTTCTTAATGAATTCATTGACTTTTCTCAATTCAGAATCCCTCTGAGCTACTAAGTCTGAATCGAAGCCACTATAGTGACTTTCCAATAAATTTCATACATGAAATTCATTGGAAAAGAAGAAATACTTAAAGTTGACAACCTCCTCTATTTAGAGGAATGGGACTGGGGGTGGAAACTTCAATTTTACAAGTTTTTTTACTTTTAAAATGTGAAATAATTTTTCACTAAATATAACATTTACAGATGAATTAGTCTTATCTATAGTAACTGATTTTTTTATTGCTCTCACCGCCCCGTTACAAACATTTTGACCAACTTTAAAAGCACTAACTTTAAAGTAAATTTTAAATAATTTTTTATCTATTGAAGGAGGGCGATTCCGCGGTGCCGGACGTAATACATATTAAACTTTATCAATTAAAATATGGCTTATATTTCTTCATCAAAATGATATATTTATATAAAAATTGCTTCGGAAATAATTCATTCGATTTATTTCCGAAGGGTTGCTTATAATTTACTAGTGTTACAAACTCAATGTTACATCCTGCACTAGCAAATTAATGTGAACTAATTCGGGTCCTAGAGGTTGAAAAAAATTTTTTTTTAAATAAGTTCATCTACTAATAAAGTTAAAAGTTTAATTGACTGATTTTTATCAAATAAGGAAGTTATTATTAACATAGTTATTAAAAACATGTGAAAAAATGTGAAAAAATTTTGTTGTCACCAAAATGTCCTAAGAAATAGGTTCTAGTAAATGTGAATGCTTAAATGAGGTTTACATTCTAATCACGTTCATTCTAAAACTTCCAGAAAACTTTTTTCAAAGGACTTTGTCAGCAACGACTTTAAAATTTGACAAACAAAAGTAAGCACAAAAAGTTCATTTTATTGTTGATGTTAAAAATTTTAAATGAAATTATATCAAAAGCTAAATTACCAAAAGCTAAGTTATCAAAATTTAAGCAGTTGTTAGCGCGTTTGCCTCTCTCCTTTTAAAACAAAATATCGATGTTGTAAAACTAATACAAATTACCCCTGTTATAAAACTGGCGTTCAACGCCAGTTTTATAACATCGTTAAAGAAGGAGGCGTGAAATTCCTTTGAAATGCTCTTCCCCTGTGCTCTGTGATAAGATCGTAAGGACTTCTTGGGGCACGTAAAATTAAAAAAACAAGTAAAATAAATGAATTTTTAAAGCTTATTCTGAGAAGGGAAGAAGACAACAAGAATTTGTTTGAGGATTTATGCAATATATTTTATTATTTGTATTTTTTATTTACTGCATTTTTTTGTTTAAAGCATTTCGTAATACTTCCGTTTTAAATTTATGTTTATTCTTAAAAGGCATGCTTATTTTTTATTTTACTTTTATTTTATTTTATTAAAATTTGTTAAGTTTCAATGGTTTGAAGTTTAAATTGTCAAATTTATCTTTAAAACGAAAGAACTATTTTACTGTGACCTGACTAATTTAGACTAGTTTATTAACTCATTTACTTTATTATGGTGTTAATGAAAAAAAAATTGACAAAATATAATGGGTTAACAAATCATCGATTTTTTTTAATCTTTTTTTTTTTACTTTTATATATATAATAAAAACAATCAATTAATTTTTCTAAATAATTTTAACAAATATTTTAACAAATATTATGAAAAAAAAACTAATTTCAACAAATATTTAAAGTTAAAAATGTATTTATTTCATAAGTACTGGGTTTAACTTTAATGTCAAACGATATGTCATGTCATGACTGTCATGGAAAAGTCACATAAAAAATTTGAGTCGTAAAATATCAAAAAGCATAGGAATTTTATACAAAGCAATGAGTTTTTTAAATAAACATACATTACTTATTATTCGCTCATACATTGTCAACTATATTATTCGCTCATTTATTGTCACATAAACTAAGCGAACATTATAGGCAGGGTGAATAAAAAAAAACAATTGCTTTTACTCAGTAATTGGTCAGTTTTACGTGAATGAAAACTTAAGGAGCTTTCCACAAATTTTTATTCGAAATAAGTTAAGCAATTTACTCAATAACTGGTCAGCTTTACATAAAAACTTAAGCATGATTGCTAAAATTTTTATTCACGTAAAGCTGACCAATTACTGAGTAAAACCATTTGCTTTTTTTTATTCATCCAACCTTATGTGGGGTAGTACTAATAAAGGTAAACTCATGCCAAGCCTCTAATAATTTAAATGAAAGTTTTAAATATATATGAGCTTAATATTTTTAACGTTATATCCTTTATGTTTAAATGTAAAAACAATATTTCTCCTGTACCTTTTATAATTTGAATAACAAAAAAGAAAAAACTAAATACATTTTACAAAATGATAACGACATTCGTCAATCTGCTTATCAAACTAATTCTGGAAAATACTGTATTTCATTTCAATGAGCATTACTTTGAAATAAAATAGTTTTAAAGAACTTTGACTTTTCTCAAGAAGGTAGCTATCACTCTTTCAAACAAAAAATTAAAAAAGTCATTTTTTTATTAGATTTTTTATTATCTATGTTCTTTTAATTTTTTGTTTCTTTTTGAACTTTATATTTAAGACTGCATTAATAAAACTGATAATTTTACAATTTGTAAATAGTTGTTTAACAATTTTGTTAAAGGTATCTTAAAACTGTATAACAAAACCTTCAACAAAAAGATTATTAAAACTGTATAACGCATCTATATATTTATAACGGAACCTTTTTTCTTTTTTTCTCTTTAATATTTAATGTTTATGTTTTGAATTCTTAATTCTCAATTATTTGTTACCTTCAAGTATATTAAATTTATATTCCTAAAGACAGGGCCGAAGACACCGGGGAGGACGAGTGGGGGAGAGGAGGGGGTAAGGGGGTGCGTGCCTCCCCTACTTTTTTTCTAAAGGACTTTTTTTTTCTTTTGAGAAAATTTTAAATATACAAGACTTTTTTAAAAAATTTACGATTGTGATCTTCCCCCCCCCCCCATCACCATTTCGAAACCTGTGTCGTCGGCCCAGAAAGAAAGTTTGTTTATTTTGAGAATATTTTATTAATTAGAAATGTTAATTAGTAAACTTTTTAGCGGTTCTCTCGTAAAAGACTTGAGGCACTTTTAGTCAGGGCGCTACATGTAAAAAAAAAAAGAAAACTAAACATTTTGTGTGAACATTCTAATTTTTGTACAGATGTTTTCTATATGTTTTAAGAAGTTAAAAAATCTTTACGGGCCACTTGGAAACTGCTTATAACTTTATTTATTGACAAAAATAGTAGAAGCTAAGCGAAGCGATTTCATCTTAAAATTTCCGCCATGTTGTTTAAAAATCAAAACCGCAAAGCATTTATTTCAGTTTTTACAAATTATTTGCAGGGGGGTAACAATTTTTAAAATAAAAAGTTTTTAAAATGTTTTATTTAATTAATACCATTAAAATTTTCTAAAGCTTGTTTGAAATAAAATTTTATTCATTATTTTTGTTTAATTAACGTTTTAAGACTAAAAATTAGTTTTAATGGTACAATTTGAAAAAGCAACCGCTCCCGTTTCGTGTCTACTTAAAAAATGTTTACTTTTTAAAAACTGTTTAATAAATAAACGTGTTTATTTGTTTTTATTTATTTAAAATTATCTAAGTAAATAATGTCAAGTGAAAATAAAAGTCTCAGTTTAGTTGCTACAAAAATAATTAATAATGCTTGCATACTTCATCAAGGAAAAGATACTAATTGTATTGACAAGCTACGTGGGTTTACTGAAAATGCGCTTTCGAAAGTGAAGAATGCTAGGTAAGTTACTTATTAAATGCGCAACTTAATTCATCTCTATAAAATTTTTAAAACAATTAAAAAATCACTAATAGCATGGATTTGTAAATAGTATTATATATATTTTTTATTATAGTCAGATTCGACAAGACTTTAAAATTATAAGTGTTCTAACTGATACATGCCCAACAACTCTCATGTTTCATCAAAGATGTTACGACAAATACGTACATATAAAAACAATAAGCAATATACAACATAAACAAGGTAGAGCAGAAACAGCCCACGATAGTGTATGCGTGGTTGATAAATTCACATCTGAGCGCAGAACCTCAACTCGAAAAAGAGATAGATCAGGTAAATTAAAAACCTTTGGGCGGGAAATACAAATCAAAACAAGCTACCCTCAGTTTTCCTTTTTTGACTGTTATATGTATTACCCTATTTTAAAGGTAAAATAACTCCATTGTTTTAGGAAAAATTATTGCAGATAAAGAATGCTGCATTTGCTATCGTAAGAAGACAAATAAAGATAGGAATGGATATGAAGCGCTAACAAAGTGCGTAACAGAAAATGCTGCAAAAACGTTAAAAGAAAATGCCTTATGTAAATCTGATATCCCAAGACTCATGGCTAGCGTATCGGGCGCAGAGTGGCAAAGTATTATCTCCTTAGAGTTACACTATCATCGATCTTGTTATGTTAACTACACGAGACCCCTTAGAAATCCTTCTGTTATTACAGAAAATACAATCATGTCTTTGCTTTTTGACTATGTAAGAGAGCACATTTTAAACAATTTAGAAATTATAGAAACAAGCAAACTAATTGAATTTTATAGCGAAAACTGCACAGATAGAGAAAAAATTCCAGATAGCAGGACTTTGCAGGATTCTGTTGTTGCACAATTTAAAGGGTCTGTTCAGTTGTGGTCACCAAAATACGGCTATTCTTTTTTATACAACAATACCATTGAGAAGGGAAAAATCATTGAAGTTCTTTTAAAGAAAATTGAACGCTTAGAAAAAAAGAATAATCCAAAACCAATCGAACAACTTATTGATCAAGTTGCCCAAGAGATTCGCAATGAGGTTTTATCTATGGAAAAAACATACTTTGATTGGCCTCCTAATGAGGACGAATTGCTACGAGTCAAGACTAAAATTCCTCCTCTTCTCCGTCGACTTTTTGCAAAAGTTCTATTTTGTGCTAGAGTGAGCAACAAAGGGCTTGTAAAAATAACTTCTCTTTGTGAAGATGTAATTTATAATATAACAAACGGCAATCATCGATGCTCTAAACACGTGTTACTTGGCTTAAGTACCAAACGAAAAACTGGGTCAAAGGAATTGATCAAATGGTTAAATAAATTAGGACATGGAATTTCCTATGATGAAGTAAACTATTTAGAGACAACTCTTGCACAAAATGCAATACAAAATCAAAATTTAAAAAGTTTTTGCCCTTCTGTTCTCCAGCCCTCAAGATTCGTGACCTTCGTCTGGGACAACAATGACATAAATCCCGAAACATTAAACGGAACCTCTATGCACGTTACTAATGGCATTGTTATTCAGTTACAAAACCAAGTTGATCAAGTACACAAGGATCGTGTAAATGAAAAGGTTACAAGAGACAGAGAAAGATCTTTTAAAGCAATTGAAAATCAGTTGCCGCTGTATGTCAAGCATAATCGCGAAGAACCAGATCACTTACGTCATTCAAACGCAATATCAAGAGACACTAAGTTACTGGAAGTGTCAGAGAAGTTGGATTTTTTTTGGACATTACTATATTATTTTTCTGATCATATCCCTAGTTGGACGGGGTTTAATTATCTAATTACACCTAAAAAGACACCTGAAGATATACACACTATTAGCTATCTCCCAGCTATTAACTCATCGCCTACCAACTTAAACACTGTGCTTGAAGTTCTGCTCCATTCCAAAGCTAAAGCCGAAAATCTTGGTCTTACAGAAACTGACGTTGTAGTGGATCAAGCTATATATGCCAAAGCGGTAGAAATTCTGATGAATCCTAGCTACATTGATCTTAAAAGGTTTATTGTCCTCCGAATGGGTGTATTTCATATATCTTGTATATTTCTAACTGTTATTGGTAAAAGGTTTAGTGATGCAGGATTGCAAGATTGGATAATTGAAGCTGAATTATGTGGTTAGTTATTTTTTACTTATTCAAAATTTTCATACATTACATTACGTAGTTAAATGTTGCTTTTTACCAAGTAAGTGAAAAGTATCTAATATTTATATATGTGTTTTATAAAGGTAAAAGTTCTGTGGACCGTATTTTGAAAGGAAAGCATTATAACCGTGCCGTCCGAATTTATAAATACCTGTACAATGCACTGACACAGTTGAGGATAAAACATTTTGAAAGTTGGTTAATTGAAAACAATCTTTCTTCATTGAATCACTTCGCTTCTTCACCTGAAATCATTAACTGTTTAAAGGAGGTAAGTATTTGCGCCGTAACATAAGATGGATTATTTTTTAGAAATTTGGTTTTGATACCATGACTATATTTTTATTTTTTCTAGACAAATTATGACAATTTAAAATTGTTGTTTGATGATGACTTCTGCAAAGCTGTAGATGACCACTCAAACGTGTTAAAAGATATAAAAATTTCCGGACCAACTTCCGCATTTTGGTTTTCCTTTATCGAAATGTTAAATATTTTTTTTGCTTTGCTACGTTCAACGAAGGTTGGTAACTGGAATCTTCATTTGGAGGCAACACGCCAAATGATACCGTGGTTTTTTGCATATGATCATCCAAATTATTCTCGCTACTTAACTTTTTATTGGACCGAAATGACTCAACTTCCTAAAACTCATCCTAGTGTTTATCAACAATTTATGTAAGCTTGTATTAAAAATACTTTTTTATTTGGAGTTTAAAATTTGTAAAAATGCATTTAAATAACTGCTTTATAATGTTATATCTTTTTAAAAACAGGGATGGAAACTTTTCAGTAAGAAGAACGAGCGGTACATTTAACAAAATTCCATCTGATCAATGCATTGAACAAACAATCAATCGCGATCAGAAATGCCGCGGGGGAATAAAAGGTTATAGTACGTGTGAAGGAACCATCCAACGCTGGATACTAACAAGTCATACCGTTTCAAAATGCATCTCAATTTTGCAAAATAACTTAGGAATCACAACTAGAAAACAATCACCAAAAGATCTAAAACCATCAAGAAAAGATTTCAACAATGGATGTGTAGAGAGAGCGTTGATGCTAATGAAAAATTGGGGAAGTCCTTTCAAGCAAAGAGATTCTTTGGTTAATATTTGTTCTGGAATAGAAGCACCTGATGAGTTAGAAGAACATTTATTGAATGCACAATCCATCGGAGAAACAGAGTTCCAAAAGTTTTTTAAAGAACGCATTCAATCTTCGACAGTATCTTTTTACGCTCCAATCAAAATGTGTCGCCTGCAAACATTTAAAAATTTGAATCTGAAAAAAATTTATCACGTCAAAGAAAAATCGTACACAATCACATCAGAACGAAGCATGTTTGGGAGATTATTAGTTATTGCGAAAAGTAGAGAAGGTCTAACTTTGAAACAAATACTATGCTATTCTTTGAGTCCCATTCCATGGGCATTAGGATTACCTGATGGTAGCTTTGTGAAAACAAACAAAATGAATCTTCTTTGTGAGTTTAACTTTATTTTACTTATACCTACAAATAAATCATCTAGTTCAATTAACAGCTTGACTTGAAATAATAATGTAACTTTTTTAGGTGCAATAGAATCTTCGGTGGATCGAGAGCACTTTGAAGAATTTGTTTCACAGGTTCCTCAAAATGCTGCACATGTTTTTGATGGAATGGCAATTCTGCAGCAGCTTGCTAACATAAAGCTCAAAACTTTTGGAGATATTTCAGAATTTATTTTAAATCTAATTCTTAAAGGTTCCACTATATATTTTGTCACTGACCAATACCAACCAGGATCAATAAAATCATTCGAACGTGCTCGAAGAAAAAAATCAGGATCTCTACATTTTAAGATTCAGCGTAGAGAACAAGCAAGACCTAATCAATGGCAAAAATATATGCAAGATGCGGACAACAAGGTCGATCTTATTACATTTCTACTAAACGATTGGTCACATACGGAAATGTTTGCATTAAAACTCACTGGGTATATTCTCTTTGTAAACTTGCAGTCTCGTTTTTATAAATTGACATGTGAGGTTGGTGGTCAGGTTAGCTAATAGTTTAATTTTTGTTTACGCTGATCTAAAAATCTTTTGTATAACTCTTGTCTTTAAAAATTACTAGATGTACTTTATAATTCCTTGGTAGGAGTTATCTCTGTTTTTGTAACGCATCTTATAAATATAAATATTTAAAGGTTACCAGCGAGGAAGTTGAATCACTGCACACAAATCAAGAAGAAGCTGATACAAAAGTATTCTTGTGCTCTAAGCACGCAGCATCTATTGGCTTTGATAGCGTTTGCATTCACACGGTTGATACAGATATTGCTATTTACGGTTTGTACTTCCAAAATCAGCTTCCCATACATTTTTTTGTGGATATTGGCGTTTGTAATTCAAGACGAATTCTTGATATAAAGATTATTGCCTCAAAGCTAGGTACTGATTGTTGTAAAGCTCTTCTTGCTCTTCATGCATTTAGCGGGAACGATTACACAAGTGCCTTTTACGGGATCGGTAAGGCAAAGTTTTTCAAACTAATGAGAGAGTCTGAAGAGTACAAGTCAATTTTTTCCAAGATTGGCGACACTTTTACCTTTGATGCAACCCATTTTGAGTATATAGAGAAGTTTACATGTCAATTATATGGCTTAAAATGCAATAATACGAATGAAGGAAGATACATAAAGTTTATTGCCAAGAAAGAAGCTCCGGAACCTCAAAAACTTCCACCTACTCGGGATTCTCTTATGTGTCACTGCAAGAGAGTTTCCTATGTAACAGCAGTTGTTAAACGATCGTTGGAAGCAAATCCCGATATTCCAAAACCTAATGGACATGGGTGGAAAGAAATTGGCAACCAACTTGAGGTTGAATGGATGCTTATCCCACCTGCCCCAGAAGATGTTTTGCAGTTAATTTCCTGCGCATGTAAAAAGTCAAAATGTGAAACGCGGGTGTGTATTTGTCGATTGCATGGATTAAGTTGTACGGAGTTGTGCGGCTGTTCGTATTGTGAAAACAAAAATGATTCTTACGATAGCTTGACAGAATATTCCTCGAGTGATTCTGATGCAAGTTCAGAATTTTCTGAAATTGAATAAATGTGTTTATTAAAAATAATGCTCATATTAAAAAAATCTTGCACCCCCCCCCCCAAATTTAAAAACAATAAAACTTTGGGGGAGGGGGAGGGGGAAGAGAAGCGCGGCTTCTTGCTCCTCCCCCTTAATCCCCTTCCTCTGTGACCTATATATATATATATATATATATATATATATATATATATATATATATATATATATATATATATATATATATATATATATATACATGCACACACACAAACATACGCGCAAAATACAATTTCTTCATTATGTAAGCACGTCATCAAAAAGGACCCTCGAGTCCAATAACTACTTACCTGTTAAAAATCTGTACATGAGGTATTGATACTTTTTATTCAGAACGAGTTTACCTAACTTTTAACATAAATTTTTATTTTTTAATTTGACTTTTAAAAAAAATTTATAGTGTGACGTCATCAGTACCAAATAATGCCCCGAATTTGACCATTAAGCATTTTCAGAATGGCCCGTAAAGTTTTTTTCATTTAGGACATCAACCTTGAACTATTTAATTAGTTTTTGTAATGTCCACATCATTTCCAAAAAAAAATTACACGTAGCGTCCTGACTATTTGACGTTTCATTTGACGTTGTCCACTTTGCTAGAAAAAGCGTTACGACTACTACGTGACACGTTTGATTAGAGCCATTAACTTCTGTTACAATAATAAGGTTGAGCATTGGCTTTTTTCAGATATTTCAATAAATTTAAAGAACTGTTAATTTAAACATAAAAATTTAGCGCTTAAATATAACAAATAGTACATTTTTGTTCAATCTTTAATCAATTTTAAAGCTTGTAAATATATGTATAATCTTCTATATTGCTGATTTGTTTTATGCAATTAGCAAATGCTTGAAAAATAAAATTTAATGCTTAATTATAATAAAATAAACTTTTAAATTCTTTAAATTTATTTAAGTATATAGAAGATAAATTCTAAATCCCTTGTTTGTTCACTTGTTTAATTTAAATGTGGTTGAGTTATTTAAACAAGGTTAGTTTTTCAATATAAATTGTTAAGAGTTTAAAATTTATATTGAAAAACCATTTGCAATATATTTACAAGCCTCAAAATTTGTTAAAACTTTGTTTAATTTAGTATTGCCTGTAGCAGTTTATTTTGTAAAAAATTAAAAATTTTAAAGTTAAAAAATTTTTTGTTGATAAAAATCATGAAATTTTAAAGTTGTATTTTTATTAAGTTAAATATTTAGAAAAAAACAATTTTATTTATTTAGTATGTTTGGTTTATATATCAATAATATAAAACAAATTAAATTATAATACATTATATTTGTCTTATTGAAAAAATAAAACTTACATATAATAACATGAACTGTTATGATTGTTATGTCAAGCAACCAAATTACAGTAATTTGATTGCTTGTTAGTGAGAAATTATTACTCATCAAACTGATTTATGCTTTTTAAAAATGTGCTGTAATAATTTTGTACAAATATTTTTTTTATTCATTTCATTCTAGATTATTACTCTTATTAGAAAGATTTATCACTATATTAAAAAAAATGCACCTATATATACTTATACAAGGATCTATATTTTTCTTGAAAACTATTACATATTTTTTCAGTTTGTTTATTTATTTTTTCCTGCTTTGTACAAATTTACCTTAAAAACATAGCTTTATTTCAGCAATACACCTAAATCATGCAAAGTTTAGTATTTGTGCTTTTGGTCATAACAGCTATTATTTTTGGATTTGTTGAAAATGCTTCAGACAAAAAGCAACTTCAAATAGGCATTAAAAAGAAAGTAGAAAATTGCAATAGAAGATCTACCAAGGGAGATGTTTTAAAGATGCATTACACGGTATTGAAAAACTTTTTGTTTCATATTTAATTAATTTTCTAAGACTGCAATGAATAGTAAAGTAAATAGTAAAGAGTTTCAATTTTGTGGTAATACAATTTATCACATTTGAATATGATTGCAGAAAAATCTAATTTGTTTTTGATTGCGTAAAAATCTAAATCTTTAACAAAATAAGGCGCTCTAAATCAATTGCAATAAATTAAAAAAAAAAAATGCTCATATCCTGTGTCTTTTTTTAAAACAAAAAAGTAATTATTTTAAGGTATTGTTTCAACCTGGTTTTTATTGATCAATTTATTTATACATGTATTGATTGGGTTTTGTCTATGGATATTTCATCTGTATATGCATATTTCATTCAAAATTTATAATTTCAAAATTTTGACTACCACACTTAGATGCCTATGTATTTGGGCATGGAGATTTCAATTTTAATAAAAATTTTGTAAAATAATAATGTTCAGCTACTGGAAAACAGGTTTTAAAAATATGGTTTTATTAAAAATTATTATTTTTAAATTAGAGTTTATTTTTTAAAAAGTTTTTGACAATTATTTATAGAAATTAAAATTTTATAAAGTAAAAAGTAACCTCGAGTAACAGATACAATAAAATTATCATTGTCCCCCCAGGATTCCTCTGCTACAATGAATAAAAATGACAAGAGCTCCTAGCCACCCCCTGTCAATATTTGATAATTTTATTATAATTATTAAGATATATTACAATTACTGTTTATGTAAACATTAATAAAAAAGCCTTTTTTTTTAACTCATACATTCCAAAGTTTATAAATTTTAGCAAAGAGATTCAAATTGTCTTACACCCTCTCCTCAAAAAAGCAAATAAACAACCTTCAAATAGTGGGAATGCCATAGTAGCAAAAACAAATTTAAAAAATTATTAAAAATAACAAAAGCATTGGTTACTTAAACAAAGTCTTTTTTTGATTTCATCACAGGCATTATTTTTTGATTTTGCTATTGAGTTTGTATAAAACCATCTCTTTTAGCCCAACCACAGACTGACTCACCTGCCTTGGTAACTAATTTGACTTGGTAACTAATTTCTTTTTTCCAATCAATAAGTTCTTTGATTTCACAAACATCAAGCACATCAGTAGGCCATGTTCACTTCCACCCAAATTGCCAATTATGTCGACTGCAAATGACATTTGTTTTGAGTAATCAGAACAGAGAAGTACAACAAGTATTTTTTCAAAAAGATCACACCAGGATTCACTTTTGAGTTTTAGAGGCTTCTTTAATCCTATCATCTTTCTTCTGCCAAAGTCGAAATAGCTCTAAAAGATGATCAGAACCGTATTTAATGCCATGATTTACATTAATCTCAAAAAATATTGGAAGATAAACCTGTGTCACCCAAGTTGCAAGGAGCTTGAAAATCTCTGTATTCTCAGATTTCATTGACTGTGAGACAATCTGCCACATTTAAGAGTTGCTACTTCAAGATCAAGGTTTCTTTTTAATATTGCATTCAAATACTTCCATGAGCACAAAAAGTGGTCATTTGCTTAACAAAATCTTCACTGATATTAACTAAAAGCTCCAGAAAGGGAATCAGCAAAAATTCATTAATTCTTTCAAGATTATCAACTTTAGCAAACAATTTACCAACTGCTCCACCTTAATCTTTTTCTGAAGCAGTTAGCCCGTCAAGTTTTATAAAGATCTATAAAGTTTTTGATGGAGAAGTTCCACACACTTCATTTTCACTAAATGAAGCATTCCACTTCTCCATCCAGAAACTTCCATTAACCATTTGAATAATCCAATAACACATTGTTTGGCTGGTTTACATATTTAAGATTTAGGCTCTCGTGTGAAATAAGTAAGATAGCGACTTCCAGGCTCCTCTGTCACAGTTATATGGTTTTCTTGAATAATTTTTTTTCTGAAGTTGCCTGTGGTCTTATCATGCATAAGGATTAAAGTTTTATCTTTTCTACCTTCGACAAAAATTCCAATGATTATATTTCTTTCACAGTCTAAATTTTCCTCTACTCTAGAACACTTAATAGCACGCTCTTTAGCACATAAAACTTTCATGCTATCACAAATAAGATTATTTTTATCTTCAACAAGTTTTCCTGCCTTTATAGTATCTTTTAGAAGTAACAGTAGGTGTCGATGAAACACCAAATATGACAGTATTACTAATATCAATGTTTTTTGATTAAGATAATTTTTTTGCTCTTCTAATGTTGAGTCTTCCTCACTATCACTGACTTTATTGCTATCACTGACCGTATCAACATTGTAATTTTTTATTTCTGCTGCAACATCCATATTTTTAGCGTCAAATCTAATAGTAGAATAATAAAATATTCTCAAAGACTTTGACTTTTAAAGCTTCTTCTTGTTGTCTATTAAACCTTGCTTGATTGATTGACAAAAGTTTTTGAACCTAAGCTTGGCAGTTTCTTTAACATCCAGGCCAAACTCTTGCATTGATGAAACACACCTTGTTTTTTAGGCTTTTAATACAAACAAGCACTTTTTGTAAAATTCTTAAATTTAAGTCACATACTATAGGCTTTTTAAACTTTGTATTAGAAATAAACCATGCTTTTGCAATATCATGGGCAACATTAGAAAAAATTTCTTGCATTGATAAATTAGATGGATTTTTTTGTCATAAACTAATATTTTTTCTCGTTGCAGATCAAGGCATTGCTGCAAACAATTACATAATGTTGGAAAAATAGTTTAGAGAAACTTTCTAGACTTTTGTTCAGCTTAGTATTGATAGAATTTCTGGTTTTCTTACTATCTAACAATGCCATTTTTCTATTTTAAATATTTTATGAATCTGAACAATAAAATGGCAGGAATAATAGCATTTGAAAATAAGTCTATAATAGCTATCATATTTATAAGGTATATTTGATTATTAACTAGCACTTATACACAAAATAATACTTGAAAAATAAAAAAACATTCTACTATAATAAAGCATAGGGTTAATCAACATTATAAATAGTCATTATGTACATTTGTAACATAAATAGTCAATATTTAGGGAAAAAACAATATTTTCAGAAAATAAAAACATTTTTTTGTTTTATCACTAAAAAAATTATACCATTCAGCTATGGTTTTATAAATACATAGTAAAAGTGATATACTGAATCAAAACTAGAACATGCATCAGTATGATATAACCTAATATGCATTCTCTGATTTTTATTCAAATATAACCTAATATGCATTCTCTTATTTTTATTCAAATAGGCACATAAAGTGTACATTAGGGTGACAATTTTTTTGAAAAATAAAATTAACACTGAATTTAATCTAATGTATTATCAGGAAAATAAGGAGTTTTGTCTTTTTTTGAGAAATAGTAAATATCTGGAAGTCCTGTGGTTTTAAAAACTATTGGAGAGGATAAAATATCAAATTTTCTGAAAGTTCAACAAAATGAGTATCAATGACAATAGGAAAATTGCTGGTTTTAAATGATGTTAAAAGAAGTTAAAGAGTTTCAATCAATCACGGAGACTTTTTTTGACATTGGAAAACATTAATGAGCAATTCATTCAAGATAAGCAGTTTGTTTAATTGTTTTTTTATTTTCTGCTCCATGATTTTAAAATCCTATCTTACTGAATCTATAGTATTCATGTATGCATGTAGTATTCATGTATGCATGTAGTATTCATGTATGCATGTAGTATTCATGTATGCATGTAGTATTCACTTCAATTCATTCAAAGTAAAAAAAATCATAAAAGTGGAATGGGATATTGATGTAGGAACTTCACTCTAAAAAAATTAAAAATGTCTTTCCCTTTTTCACCTAAAGCAGTAGTTATTGCTCTTTCTGATTCAGATCTTGAAATTCAAACAAGTCTTACATTTTAAAGGCCTTGTTGAAGCACGAAGTTCCTTGTATTAATGAGATTATTAAAGAAAAACCACTTCCTGTTTGATTTCCTATTTCAGAATAGGTTTTAAACAAATAGAAAGTGTTCAAAAAGAATTTTGGTGGTAAATAATTTATATTGGTTTAAAAAGATGGTAGATATTAGTATTGTTAAATGATTTTTTGAAAAGATTGATTTTTAAAAAGATTTAGAGCATCTTGATAAAAAAAAGTTGTTATATATTGGATTATATTTTTCTCTTGAACAACTAACTTTTTAACAGAATTTGCAGTCTAAATTTGTCGATTCAAATGTGGTCCAGAAGCATTCTATGTCAAATCAGCAGAAAAAACAAAAAATTATAAACCAATTTTTAGATTTAGGTAATTTTTACATAAGAAAAATTAGGAAAATCTAAAAGTTGGCATATCCAACTTCTTATTTCTCTTATTAATGCCAACTTGGAGTTTTTTGCATGAGTTTTTGTCATTATATTACAATACTTAATGAGTGGAATAAGGTGATATTCGAATATCTCGAATGAATGAGGTGGTATTTGAATATCTCAAGAACAGTAAGTAGTTAAATACTCATTTTGGTTATTCTAATTTTTATAAGTTAAATTCAAAGCATAGGGTGACAGTAATATGGCAGCTAATTTGACATAAAGTGACCTTCCAAACAATACCTTGCATAATTATTAGGAAAGAATTCAACTATTTTTTTTTTGGAAAGGAAAGGGAGGGAGGGAGAGGTAAATTATATTTCTCTAAAATAAAATTTTGTTTTTTATGTTCTCTGAAATAAAATTTTGTTATTTTTCTCAAAATTTTTTTTAATTTTATAAACTAGGGCAAATTAGAAGATGGTACAGTGTTTGATAGCAGTGAGGGAAGAGACCCATTATCATTTACTTTAGGTGCTGGTCAAGTAATTAAAGGTATACTGACTTTGTATTTATGAAGATGCCCTTTAAAAAGTCGAATTTCAAATACAACAGTTATAATATAAGTAGATTTCAAATATATATATATATTTATATATATAATATATATATATATATATATATATATATATATATATATATATATATATATATATATCAGGCCTTGTTACGAGATTTCGCTGCGTAACGGAAAAGCTGAACGTGAATAAATGTAACTTTACTCAATTAAGATATTTACATTGTTAAAAGTTAATTTACGTCAGTTGCGTTTTTACTTCATTGTAATTAAATTTAAAATGACATTAAAAACTATTGTTAGTCTTTGAAACTTTTAAATTTAAATTGTAGAATGTTGTTATAAAAAAAAAAATTTCAATGTTGGTTAAAAAAAAGTCTTCTTGTATTAAAATCTTATACTTATTTAAACTTAATTTTTTTGCTTTTAAACATTCGTTTTATGGTTGTTTTTTTTTTTTTTTTTTTTTTTTTTTTAAATAATTAAATTTAACACTTGTTTATGGTTGATTTTCTTAAAGGGATTTAAATGTACTTATAACTAAACGCATAGATTGGGTTTTCCCTTTTAAAAAAAAACGTTTGTTTTGATAAAATAAATGTTTGTAAAGAAACGAAATTTACTGCTTTTTCGGCTTTGTTTTTTTTTTTTATTTCGATTAAACTATTTTATTTTTATGTACAGTGAAACCTAATATTTTTTTTCTCAATCCGAAAAAAAAATAGTGTTTTCGGTTTTCAGATGTTATAAGCAGAATTTGTTTTTAACAAATATCATTATAATTTTGGAATTTATGTATCTTATATTTATAGCTCAAGTACTAGTTTTGTTTTTAAAATAAAATAAAGATAAGTTGGGTTTTTAAAGAGTTTATTTACTGATCACGTTATTTTTAATAGGTTTGTATTTTAGTTTGTTCAAGAACGTATTGTTAATACGTCCTTGGTTTGTTTTAAAAAAAATTCTTTGGCAAACGGCAAAGGGAAAACCCAAACATAACATTTATAACTCGAGTTTAAAAGTATTGACGTCATTTATTAACATGTAGTTATAAAATGAATAATGCGCTTCTGTAAATAATGAATGATACAGTAAAATAATGGAAAAATAAAAACTGGAAAATAATGCGCTTTTGTAAGCGCATCTTTCAGACCAGTATTTGGAACTTACCTGAAACTTAACTAAAATTAAAATAAAGTTATATGTAATACGAACATTTTAAAGTAACTTGAATTAAATTTATCAAATCTTTTTTTACTTTGGTAATTTTATAAAAAAAAACGGAGCATTTTAAAATTAAAAAATTTTAAAATGCTCTGTTTTAAAATTAAATGAAAGAATTTTAATTAAATTTAATAAATTTATTTACTAAAAACTATAATTATTAAAAAAATATTTAAACTTAATAAAATAAATTGAAAATTATTCTTTTTTTAAATTTGATTGTTTATAAACTTATGAAATCTAATATTTAAAATTAAATATGATGAAAAGTTTAATTTATTTTCTTTGAGTAATTTTTAAAAACAAAAAAAAAATTATTAAACAAATTGTTTCTTTAACAAAAAATCTATTAGTTTACAATTGCGGTTAAATGCTTTTACTTACGACTTTAATACTTCTGAATGAACGTCACATAAACGATATAAAAAGATAATTTAAATATTCTTAAAGATAAAGTTTTTGCGTAACGCATAACTGCTGAACGCGTAGGCAAATCGCCTTTTCGCAGGCAAAATGCAAGCTGCGTAACGCTTCTTAACAAGGCCTGATATATATATATATATATATATATATATATATATATATATATATATATATATATATATATATATATATATATATATATATACATATATATATATATATATATATATATATATATATATATATATATATATATATATATATATATATATATATATATATATATGTATATATATATATATATACATATATATATATATATATATATATATATATATATATATATATATATATATATATATTATATGTTATATATGTATTTTTTTTTTTAATATAAAAATATATATAACAATTATAAATATAATCAAATATATTTATTTACAGCTTTTTTTTTTTTTTTTAATGTTTTGTATTGGATTCCAACAGCAGGGTGAATTTATTATAATATTAGTTGAAAATTTAAAAAGTCCTTCTGGGCATTTCCAAAAAATCACGCACGGAAACTCGTATATGTTTTTACTTTTATTTTCATAAAAATAAAACTAGCGATCTCCAATTTACTCTCATTTAATTCTAATCAATATAAATATTTTGTAGACAAAAAATAGTAAGAGTTAGTAATGTTAACAAAGAATAAATAAAGTTTGAAATGGAATCACGCACGGAACAGAAAAACTTCTATTTTAGTTACTAGATAAATAAACTTTAATTCCTCGGACAATATAAGTTTCACCGGTATACTTTTTTTTTTTAAATAATATTTTAAACATTAGTAAAGATTTCCAGAATCTTTACTAATGTTTAAAACAGGATTGCACTATGAATCAGAGTCACAGTGATCATTTAAATGCAGTTTATGAATGATCACGCACGGAAGTCACGCACAGATGTTGCAAATTTGTCAATTTCATGTAGTTATTTTTATGAAAATAAATTGCTAGTGAGTATTTCAAGTGAAATATTATACTTCTGCAACTCATATTTAATATATTTTCGATGAGAAATGGCAGTAATCAATTATTTCTAGCTAGAGTATGGCATTTTGAAAATTATTGTATATTTTTCAAAATGTAGCGATATTATTACTCAAAAAAATAAAATTGTAAAAATGTGTATATTTAATTTATTCAGATAGCCTAAAATATGATAAAAATACTTTAGTTATAATTGTTCTTTAAGAAAATCAAAATAGTATGCATATTGCATATAGTCCCAGCTTTTAATTGCTAAAACAAAGAAAAATAAAAAATCACGCACAGAAATGGAAATGCCCTTCTGGGTTTTTTAATAAATTCTGTTTTGGAGCACTGAACAATAGAAGATTTTTTTATGGTCATATCAGCTATTTTCTAAATTATATAAATTTAAACAGTGTAGAAAATTTAGATTAAGGCACATTTTGGTGGCTAAAACTTTTATCATATCCATGCAGTGTTTTGCTTATTCTTTTTTCCATAAACTTTAATTGGGTGTTAAGGGCTTTACAAATAGGAATCATTTTAAAAGTAAAAATAATTTGCTCAACCTTTTTAACTCTGCAAAATATTTTAATTCATAAAATTAAAAAACTTTTAAACACTTTGCTTTTTAAAAGGTTCTTCTTAAATGCTTCATTAATTTCATTAATTTTGTAGTTCATTGACCATTGACTCAGTAATTATATTAATAATCTACTTTTATTTACTCTAATTTTAATTTAATTTTTTAAATTTTTGTAAAAGCGTATTAACATAAACATGTAAATAAACATAAAAAATGTAATTATGTATGTATTAACATAAACGTTAATATAATTTTTATTTTAATTAACTTAGTCACAGCTTAATAGTTATTAAAAAAAAAACACAACTTCAAAAAGAAATAGATTTAATTTTTTTTCAAAAAATTAAGTAAAATATTTTAAATATTTAAGAATATTTTAAGTAAAAAAATATAACTTGGTTGTTTGGAAAAATGAAAAAATGATTAAAATGAACTTTGCAAGAAAGTTGACAAGTTTTTTTATTACACTGTACACAAAATATTTTAATTTTGAAATTGCTATTAAAATTGATTTGGAGCAATTTGTGTATGCTAATATATATATATATATATATATATATCAGGCTTGGTCGGGAAGCGGGAGCGATCGCTCTCGAATACTGACCACGGAAATTATATTTAGTTGCGTAAAACTGGCCAGGTTTTTTAGTCGTTTTGAGAACATTTAAGTTTATGTACGAAACACAGAATTTTTGTTTTACGGACATACATGGAAACATAATAAACTAGAATGTTCTCAAATTATCTTCGTGCGAAAGAATAAAAAGAATATTTGCGAACACTAAAAACCCGCCAAATTAACAAACAAACTAATTCTATTGGTTCAAAAAATACGCTGATTAAGCGAAATAAAGTTCTAAAGTATTCTGTTAAAATGTTTTAGAAATTGTATTATTTACGATTTGTTACGTTTTGAGATTTCTAGTATTGCTTTAAGAATATATATTATTTGTTTACGAAAATAAATTTTTTAAATATATATTAATTAAATTGTTAAAATTTTAAAAGTTTATTATAAATTATAGATTTTATTAGTATATTCTTATTTTTTATTTTAAAAGAGATTGTATTCTTTATGTAAACGTAATTTTGTGTATTTGTTTTTTATCGTAATGTATCTTTTAAAGCAATTTTTATGATTTAAACAAAGACTTACAAAAATAATTGCGTTTTCAATGAAGTTACAATCGTAAAAGTTAATAAAACTAATTATGTAACTAACATAAGAAGTTTCTGGTTACTTAACACAAACAACGCATACAAAGTAACTTGCGGATGAACAAGCATCGCGCCTGAGGTCACGACAGAACACAAATATATAATAGCAAACAATTAGATATAAAGAAGAGTTTCTAGATATTGGTTTACTAACTCTAATTATTTTCGTTTAAGTTGCCATTCTTAAAACTCGTTATACTTTTTTCTACTTTAAATACTAATTAAAATTAAAAACCCACTCACTAAACATCATCAGCGATATTGTGAAGCAGTTTCGCTTCCTGGTCATTACGTATTTTTAACCTTTTTAGTTGATTTCTATCTTGATAATTTAATTCCTATAGTAATTCAATGATTTAATTATTTCATTTGTTTATCTTACTAAGAAGAATCGCTTCAAATATGTTAAACTTTTCAAACTACGCGAAACATAAAATAGGTAATAAAAAAATTAACTTTTTTATTTATAAAATAAATTAAGCTTAAGTAAAACTAAAACTTGCAAACTTAGTTAAATAAAGAATATTTGTTTCCCTTTTAAACAATCGTAAGTTGTTACTTTATATTAAAAAAAAAATCGTTTAATTTTATAAAAAAAATTTATAAAAAAGCGATGTTTCGTAAATATTTGTTCTAAATGTAATTTATTTAGCTTAAAGTTTTTACGCGTTTAAAGATACTTTATTTGCCTACTTTTTTTTTTTTTGTAATTGTCTCTCATCGGTCCAATTAATCTTGTTCGCTTTTTTTTTTTTTTTGCTTTTTAAAATGTTCTCAAAACGACTAAAAAATCTGGCCAGCTTTTCGCAACTAAATATTATTTACGTGGTCAGCAATCGAGAGCGATCGCTCCCGCTTCCCGACCAAGCCTGATATATATATATATATATATATATATATATATATATATATATATATATATATATATATATATATATATATTTTATGGCACTCATATTTTTGTGAACTTTTGATAAAATCAGCATACAATATAAACTTAAAACCGTACAGAAATATATTATTGTAGGAAGTGCTGAAATGCTGAAAGCTATCAAGTCTCCACACTACTGTCTTGTCTAAGATCAAGAAATGTTTTGCTATTTGTTTTTAGTGGTTTGTATTTTTAGTGTGGCTAATCATGTTTAAGCATCCTACATCAATCAGTAAACAATGCTGGTGCCCTTTTAACCATACCCTATCATAAAAAGCATAAGTGACATTGCAGCCCATAATTTTATCTGATTAAACAAGCTTAACTTTTTTGCACCTAAATTTAATATTTGTAAACAGTAAAAATCAACACGATTTAAATCAGTAGAATAGTGAAACATGACATTTTTACTCCATAAAACTTTTCTAAAAAATTATTTAGAACAAAATTTCTTTATTTTTTATTTTTAAATAAATATACATTATATATCTTTTAAAAAAAAATTATATTAAAAATTGCAAAAAGAAACAAATACTGTGAATTGGGAAAAAAAATATTTTTAAAATAAGTTTGAAAGTTCAACTTTGAAACTTTGTGAAAGTCTAAATAATTCTTATAAAAACTTAAAACCATAAAAAGTATTTTTTTGCAACAAACATCAATTAATATACTCTAACACTCAACACTCTAGATTTCAGAAGCAAACAATTTCTCCCTGTTGCTAATCTTTTGAAAATTACCTTCTCTACATAGTAGGCATATCTTTTGATATACTTTTCTATTAGTTAATTAAAAAATAAATAAAAACTAAAAACATAAACATTCTTAATTAAAAAAACAAAAAAATTTAATATATATTTATATACAACCTTTGGAATTAGGGTCGGCATTCGGCCGACCCTAATTCCATATATGTATGTATGTATGTATATATATATATATATATATATATATATATATATATATATATATATATATGTATACACACACATACATATATACATTTTCATAAATAGTTTATTTATAGTTATTGTTGTTTTTTAAGGTTGGGATCAAGGACTCTTAAAGTAAGATGTTTATACTTTAATGAGATATAATTAATATTTAATTTAATGAGCTATATTTTTTTTGTAACAAATAGAAATGTTTTGTTATTGTAGCATGTGTGTTGGTGAAAAAAGAAAGTTATCTATTCCATCACATTTAGGATATGGTGAAAGAGGATCACCCCCAAAAATTCCAGGTACAGTTTTTCTAAAATTTTTTATTATATAACATTAACTGTTGAAATTCTTCTGTAATAGAATGCAGGAAGTTTAAGAATTATTAAAACAATTAAAGATTCCGCATCTGTTCATATAATAACAATTTTTTCAGCAGAATTGTGCATTATATATTTTTTTATTTTACTCGAATTTAAACAAGTTTATATAATTCATTATAATTAATATATAAAATATAAATTCATTACTTAATATAAAAATTATGCAATAGTTTAGTGCGTAGTAATTTTATATATTTTTTGAAAAGATTGATTTTTAAAAAGATTTAGAGCATCTTGATTAAAAAAGTTGTTGGATATATTAGATTATCTTTAAATATTTTTATTAAATATACAATATTTTATTAAATATACAATATTTTTCTCTTGAACAACTAACTTTTTAACAGAATATATATATATATATATATATATATATATATATATATATATATATATATATATATATATATATATATATATATATATATACACACACAAGTGAGAGGAAAATAAAAAAAGTTATAAAATTCAAAAAATATTTTTTTGTATTATAGAATAACTTATATTATGAAGGCCTCAAATTAGCCATTTGTATAGTTAAAATATAATCTTAACCAGTTGAAGAAAAAAAAATCAGTGACTTTTAAGCAAAATAAATAGATAATTGCATTTTGAAAGCTAAAAAAAAGTCCCGTAAACTCCCGTAAACCCTTTTATGGGAGTGTGAGTAAGTTCGGGAATTATAATAATGCAGACCTGCATTATTATATTGCAATTTGAGAAAAATTAGTTACCAACCTTAGCAAACTTAGAAAGAGTATAATCATGCTCACCCTCACCCAAGTGGGATTTAAAATTTTTAAAATTAATTCAAAAAGAGCATATTAAAAATACTATTAAAAATGTTGAAACTTTTTTATTTAAATTCTTTTTTTTAAATACAATTTAAGAGCTCTTTCTTATTTAAAATTTTTATATGAAGCTCCTGAGGACTTCATAGCACCTAATTTAAATTATGACATTTAGGAATCTGAATCTTCGGATTCAGAGGAAGAAACAATTTATTTTGAAATGCTTTATTTGTTATTTTTTATTGTAAATTTATATAATTTTAATAATTGAATCAGTGTTATTATTAAAGGGTGGATTTGCTCAAGAGGTTTTGAGAAAAGGGTGGATTTCCCCAAGAGATTTCGAAAAAATATAAAAAAAAACACTAATTCTATCTTTATATAATAAGTAAAGCATCTAGATATATTTTTATCTATTTTTATATTTTATATTTCAAAATAAATAGATTTTAAAATATATAATATAAAAACGTAACTTTTTTTCCTTATGTTTTTATATTATATATTTCAAAATCTATTTTTTTTTGAAATATATAATATAAAAAATAAAATTTTATAAAATGCACCATATTTAATCACAGCTTTTGATATGAAAATTATTTTAAAGTTTTTTTAACACATTTCAAAAATGTGCTGAAAAAACTGAGCCTAAAAGAATGTTAAAAAAGAAACATTCACTTAAAAAAGAAATCTTAACAAAAGAAAAAATTAAGCGAACTAAAACTTCGCAAAATTAAAACTCAACTTAGATAAAACTCATAAAAATAATAAAAAATTATCACCATAAACCTCTTGCAAATCAACATTATCAATATTATTATAAATTAACAACCATAATTCCTTATCTCTTGCATTAGCAATGTTTTTTTTAATGCAACAAATCTTTTCGGTGTCTTGTTTAAGCAGTGTTTTGGATGCTGGTTTTGATGTGATACCAAACGTGATCATCTGCGTTGCCAACGTGATCATCTGCTTTATTGAGGCTTCTTGAGATTGAATCACTTCAGATTATTTGTTTCACATGTGAAACTTATCTAAGTATAATTTTTATTTCAAATATATTACGGACATAAACATCATACATATGGACATATATTTTCAAGTCATATATGCACCCTACAAACTACATTCTCAATGTAAGATACATCAAATTTTATCCCAAAACAGCATTTACCAATCAAACAAAGACTTAATATTAAAATAGTTATTAATATATTTAATATTAATCTTTATTAGTTATCTTAATGAAATATTTTTCATTGTGAATTTCATGAATGAAAAATACTCATGATGTTCGAGGGAAAAAAATAAAGTATTGGTCATTTAAAATTTACCTTAGTAATCTTAGGATGAATATAAAAAGTTTGAGGTCTGAGAAATTTTTTATTTATTGCAATGACAACTTAAGAAGTAAACTTCAATTGATTAAGTTTAAGGAGGGCAAGAAGATTATGATGATTTTCTTATACATTTCAAACTTTGTCTAGTATGATTATCTTGTTGCACCTGGTTTACTTTTCGTTATTTAGATGAAAATCTAATACTGATGGGTCAAACATTACGATACCCTTTAGAACCCCTTGTCCATTATCAGTTTGATTGACATTTTTGATGTTGAACCTATTTAATTAGTGAACCTGTTTCTAACATTATGGATGTTCTCCTGTGTTCCATGTCTTCCAACATCTCTTTTGGTCTCTTTCATTATTCCCAACACCACACTATTTTAAAAATCGCAATTTATTTTCAAGTTTACTTTTGCTTTTTATCTGCCTTTTAAGTGATCAAACAGCATGTAATCATTTTTATCTACCTTATAAGTGATCAAACAGCATGTAATCATTTTTATCTGCCTTATAAATGATCAAACAGCATGTAATTATTTTTATCTGCCTTATAAATGATCAAGCAGCATGTAATCATTTTTATCTACCTTATAAGTGATCAAACAGCATGTAATCATTTTTATCTACCTTATAAGTGATCAAGCAGCATGTAATCATTTTTATCTGCCTTATAAATGATCAAACAACATGTAATCATTTTTATCTGACTTATAAATGATCAAACAGCATGTAATCATTTTTATCTACCTTATAAGTGATCAAACAGCATGTAATCATTTTTATCTGCCTTATAAATGATCAAACAGCATGTAATCATTTTTATCTGCCTTATAAATGATCAAACAGCATGTAATCATTTTTATCTGCCTTATAAATGATCAAACAGCATGTAATCATTTTTATCTACCTTATAAGTGATCAAACAGAATGTAATCACTTGTCATCTTGTTTTTTTTTTAATTTGATGAGGACTATTTAACGTCTTTACAGGTTTATTTGAGAATTTATAAACTAAATTCATTATCCACATATTCTTTTTATAAATTGTATCAATGAACTTTTTTTATTGACTTTTGAATCAGTTCTTTTCCAAAGGTAATCATTCTTTTGTCTGATCATATCAACTTACTGAAAAGTATGGTTAAAAAAAAACTCATGTCAACCTGCTGAAAAGAATGGTTTAAAAAAAACTCATGTTAATCTACTGAAAAGTTTAAAAAAAACGTGTTTAACAGTTTTTATTGATACAATTTATTTTTGGTTTTTAATATTATTTTAAAGTTATTTGATTATATTTGATTCATAGTTTTTTCATAATATTTTTTTTTCTCAAAAGTGCGATTTCATTTCAATAAAAAGAGAACATACATATGCTACATAAAAGTTGGTCTCAACAAATGGTAAAAAAAAACAAATTTACACATGCGTAGTTTAATAAGCCACGCACGCACGCACGTGAAGTGATAATAATGAGCCTCTAGTCATTACTTTTTACACACTTGCGGTAAATGACGTCTTACTTCATTTGCACTATGTGACACTGGTATGGTGCGAATGAAGTAAGAAGTTGTACGATTTAGACAAAACGAATAGATGATTATGCTTTACATTTATTAGAGATAAGGAATTTTTTTAATTTTTAAATATACAAAATTTTTGTAAAGTAGTAAATCATTCAATATTTTGAATCCAAGTGCTCATATAACTCATCAACATCGACAACCATTGTTCACTTAATAACTCATCAACATAGACAAACATTGTTCACTTAATCAACATCGACAACCAATGTTCACTTCATTACATTGGACAACCATTGTTCACTTAATAATAGAGTAATAAGTATACTCAACGTGATCAGTTAAATAGTCACAAGAAATCTTGTAATTTTTGCTATCGATTGATTTCAAAATTTGTCTATTTTGTTTATTTCCTGTTCCCCTTGTAAGCACCTGTATGGATTTAACGATTCTCACTCCTCCCCAAATGCGTACTACGCATTATTTATTACAAAATCAACCTTTTCTCAACCTAAAATTTTTCAAAACATTACAAACAAAAAAAACTCAGTTAATTCAACATTTCTGTTACATAAAATTGATTTTTAAACTCGTGAGATTCGATGCTTTTACATAAAGAAAAAAAAAAAGAAATTAAGTTATAGGAAAAATAAAAAACGAAGAATAGTAAAGTACATACTTGCGGTAATGTCTTTAACACCCCCTCCCCCGTGTACGCGGGTTACCTTTTTGGGTAACCCCCTCTCCCCCTATACTTGCGTACGTACTTTATGAAAGACCCTTTCCTAATTTAAACTATTTGTTTACTTTAAATTTGGAAACAAGTAAGAATCTTCAATTTAAAGAAGCAAAAAATATGTAAGCGATTTTCGATATTTTTGATTAAGTAGAAATAAACCTTAATAATCTAAAAATGAATATTGTAGATATTTATTACTTAATAATTTTTTTTTTAAGGTGGTGCTACATTAATCTTTGAAGTTGAATTGGTTGGAATTGAAGGCAAAAACAAAAAAGATTTGTGAACGTTTCATTAGTTTTATATTAGGAAAAAAAAAATGTTTTTTTGAATTGTTTTAAATTTTTTGCATTACGAAATTAAAAACATCGTGGCTCATTGAGTTAATATAATAAAGTGTTTTAACTTTTGAAAAATAAAAAAAATTAGTTATCGATTTGCGCTGCAATAATTTTTTTTTATGTTTTGTTGTTGCACGGTGCCTGTTGTAAAGCGGTTTTCGATATTCCCGAAAGTTGTAACACAAAAAAATTTCGAGTAAACAAACATTTAAAATGGTACATTTTAAGAAGGAGTCAAGTTATTTTGCGAATAGAAGAAGTTTTTAAAAACTGAAATAGTTATTTTGAAATATAACTTTTATCACTCTTGCTTTAATTTTAATAAGTAGTTATTGGTGCAATGGCATCATCATTGTGTCGTTAAAAGTTGCTCAAATCTCCTCCAGGGCCGACGACACCGGGGAGGGTCAGGGGGCCCTCGGTGTCGTTTTTTAAAAAATATATATATATAAGAAAATTCTAGATATAGACGACTTTTTTTTAAGAATTGACGGCTGTGTCCTCCTCCCCCCTCTCCCCCTTATACTTTGAAATCCATATCGTCGGCCCTGTCCTCATTACTAAGCAAGTAAATATAATTTTTATATTTATTACTCCTAAATACTAGTTGGTTTAATAATGAACTAAAAGTTAAATAGTAATTGGACCTGCGTTTTCGTCAGTTGCTATTGGTGAGTACATTAAGCCATTTAATTTCCATCCCTAATTAAGTGGGTCAAGGTCACTGTCACTTAGACATCTCCAAATACGCACTTGATGGTATACTCTCAATCCATGGTAGTAAGCAGCTATTGGAGAAGGCGCAAGAACAGAAAGGTCTATATGAGCTCGATCAGAGTTTACCATCTCCTCGTACTTTTTGAGTTTACCATTTCCTCGTAGGCTTTTGTTTCTATAGGAATTCCCATTGAAGCGTCTGATCTTTTAATTGATTTTGATTGGTTTCTTAATTTAATTCGACACGATGAGGGAATAAACACGTTTTCTGCTGCCTCTTGTTTTTTATAGAGTTTTTTTTTTTTAATATATATTTGCTGTTTATAATTAATAAGAAATATAATTACAAAGAAACGTTTACATACAAAAAAAGTGAATTTAAAAAAAAAAGGCAGGGGCTCAAAAAAGATACGGATGACTAAAGTCACAACAATCTTTTCATAGAGCCCCTAGGTGGGCTTTACAAATTAAAAAAAATAGGAACTCCAATATAATAACAAGGTTAAAGCTTGCATAAATATTTCTATTAAATCAAGAAAGTAAATAATATCATATAGTTTTATCAATATTCATTAAAATATACTAGCAACTCTGTTAAATATCAAAATAAGAGCCAATTAACAAGTAAAAAAAACTAAGAATAATGGAACTCGATTTTAATTTCGAAAAAACAAGAAAACTATTTATCTAATTTAAAAATTTCATTTTTTATTATAAACTTAAAAGAATTTAATGATTTTACAGTATTTAAATTTTTTGTTTTTGGAAAAGTATTCCATAGTTTTGGTCCGCGGTATGATATTCCATATGCAGAATACTTGGTAATTTATAAGTATTCCATTGGTTTATTCTAAGAGAATACTTTTTGTTTACATTTTTTGTAAATTTATCATTAAAGTTTTTTGGAATCAAGCTGTTGTTACATTTATACATAAAATTTAGGTGTTGGTAAATGTTGATTTCATATATATTCATCATTTTCATGTTAATGTTTCTATTAATGTTAGTATTTCTATGTTAATATTTATTTAATGTTTCTATTAATGGTTTTGCATGTTCATATTTTTTTTTTATATATATAAGTCCGCATGCATTTTTTTTTTAGAGAAAATATTATAAATATATGAGACAATGTATTAGGCTAAAATATACTAGTTTCAGACTTTCTGATGTTACATATGGATAAATTCAAACCAATTGTTTTACTAATTTTTGATTGAATATAATTAATATGGGAAGCCATCATAAATTTTCATCAATAAGAATTCCTAAGAATTTTATTGAATCATTTTTACTAATTAGTATATCATTTAAAATCAAATCAGGTAATTTTAAAGGAAGTTTTTCATCTTGTGATTTTTTATGAAATAAAGTATATTTTGTTTTATCTACATTGAGTGAAAGTTTATTTGCCTTAAACCATTCATCTGCATTCATTAGTTTAGAGTTCATGTCAGAATACAGTTGATTAATGTCACAGTTTGAAAGGAAGAGATTTGTATTTTCAGCAAACATTATTGAGTTAAGCTTAGCATTTTTTAAATCATTTACGCAAAGTAATGGATCAAGAATTGACCCTTGTGGAACTCCACAAATAATTTTAAGTTGATCTGATTCCTTACTAATAACATATTGTTTTCTTTCAGTAAGGTAGCTTTTTAACGAATAATGGGTTTTATTTATCATTCCGTAGTGTTTTATTTTTTTCCAAAAGAATTAGGTGATCAACCGTATCAAATGCTTTTGATACGTCAATAAATAATCCTAGAGTGAAGCTATTATTTTAAAATCCTTTAGTAATTTGGTCTACTATTTCAATTATTGCGTGTTCTGTTGAATGTTTTTTCCGAAAACCAAACTGTTTTTTATGTAAAGTAAATTATTTTCATTAAAATGGTTATAGATTCTATTAATAATTACACGTTCAAATATTTTTGAAAGTACAGAAAGCACTGATACAGGTCTATAATTAGAGATTTCAGATTGATCATTATTTTTGTAAATTGGACATACTTTTGCCAACTTTAATTTCATAAACCAATACATTCAAATTCAATTTTGAAGCACACACGGTTGTCCAAAATAGGAAATAATTACTTCGGCTTGACCCGAGAGTGCCACCTGTCCTGGGTAAATCAACATGGTCCACGGATTCAAAATGTATAAATATTGAAATCTAGTTACAACGTCCGAGCGAAAAAAATCACTTTGAATATTTTACCTTTTTTGCACATGCTCATGAGATGACAGCATTCACAAAATTGTACATTTTTACAGCATACAAAATATAAGGGGGTAAGATTTGAAAAAGATGTTGTCAACCATGATTTTAGTAACAAAAAAGATAATATACTCAACATTTTTATATCATTTAAGTATAAGTATTATTACAGTTGCAGTGCAACTTATTGTATAGCAAGTTTAAAATTCGTTAGCAAAATTTAGAATAACGCATTTTAACCTCTAATTTTTGTGATGTCATAACTATTTTTTCCTAAAATAAAAAAAAATACCAATAACTCATTTTAAAGAGGAAAAGAATAAACTTTCCAACGATATATAACATGTCTTTATAATAATCTTTTCTAGGTTGAGACTAAATTCAACAGGACTATGAAGTTGACACTAAGTAATGAGTAGGGATGGCACTTTTACTTATTTTGATGTAAAAACGCGAGTTACTTTTAAGCGTAAATTACTTTACATAACTCATATAAAAATATATAATTTACTTACATCTAAAAGTAATTCGTTTTTTTTTTACATAAATTATATAACGTGTAAAACTTAATTACTTAAGTTAAGTTTGTTAAATGAGTAGCTGTTACATGAAAAAGTAATTTACTTTCACAAGTAAAAGTTATTTACATTTTTACTTTTATTTATAAATGTAACTTACTTTTAATGGTAAGTCGTAAAGTAAGTTACTTTGAAAAGTAATTTTGGTTATAATTACGTAAAACATTTACATCGAAATGTAATTTACTTTTTAAATGTAAAAAAAGTTACTTATGAAGTAAACTTACAAAATATAATATTTAAAAAAACTTACTTTCCAAAGTAAAATAAAACTACATCATAACAACAAATTACTTTTATGTGTAAAAGTAACTAATTAGAACTGCAAAGTACAACAGGGTCTAAATACAAGCACCACAATACAATGAAGTTTCTTGTATCAGTTACCTCTAGTTTTTTCATAAATTTTGTTTCAGAGGCAAAGAATGTCAATAATATTAATATATATATATATATATATATATATATATATATATATATATATATATATATATATATATATATATATATATATATATGTATATATATATATATATATGTATATATATATATATATATATATATATATATATATATATATATATATATATATATATATATATATATATATATATATATATATATATATATATATATATTAATATATATAAACTAGGAATATGTTTGAAATAACCAACTTAAAAACAACCATAAAAAAGTTTAACCCCCCCCCCCCAATTTGAGAAGGCTGCAAACTTTATGGTCATAACTTTTGAACACTAAAAAATTTTACTATGAAATTTAAAATTTCCAAATGAATATAAGTCTAGTTGAAAATAGTAGAAAAAATATTTCATCAACTTGTTACTCTCACATTTAGGGCAGGAGTGGCTAAGATTATAGAGTTTCTTGTTCCCATTCTACTATCACAATAATTTTTTTTTAAAAGAATCTTTTCGTCATACATATGAACGTAAAAAAATTTGGAATATATTTCAAGCATTTAAAAACCTTCTTTCACCACTGCATATATATATATTATATATATATATATATATATATATATATATATATATATATATATATATATATATATATATATATATATATATATATATATATATATATATATATATATATATATATATATATATATATATATATATATATATATATATATATATATATATATATATGTATATATATATATATATATATATATATATATATATATATATATATATATATGTATATATATATATATATACATATATATATATACATATATATATATATATATATATATATATATATATATATATATATATATATATATGTATATATATATATATATGTATATATATTTTTCACCTTCTTTCACCACTGCATATATATATATATATTATATATATATATATATATATATATATATATATATATATATATATATATATATATATATATATATATATATATTATATATATATATATATATATATATATATATATATATATATATATATACATATATATATATATATATATATATATATATATATATATATATATATATATATATATATATATATATATTTATATATATATATATATATATATATATATATATATATATATATATATATATATATATATATATATATATATATATATATATATATATATATATATATATATATATATATATATATATATATATATATATATATATATATATATAATGATAAGACACCCCAAAAATATTTATAAACCTCTACTATACATTTACATTTAAAAACTAATTTTTAGTGCAACAAAATTATGACACTTTTGGAAAAAATTCAGTTAAGTTGTCAGTTATATAAAAAGACGTCTCAATTTTAAACAATCAATACTGGGTACTTTTACCATTTTTTTCGAATCACTTCAGTTATTCTAGAAGGTAAAGAATCATACAAAATTTTTATGTACGAAATGTCAATTGCATTTCTTGCAGATGCAATGGATGATTTCAAGTAACCTAGTGAACTATATTGTTTACCACTATATGTGACAGCTGTGCCCAAGCATTCTCAATATGTTCAGGTCGGGAGATCTAGTTGACCACTTAAATATTTCAATTTTAATAATATTGTACATAGTAATTTACTATATTAGCTGTATGAACATCAATTTAACTGATGTTGAAATATTCCTTTACTATCTTAGCTGTATGAACGCTAGGATTATCTAGCTAAAAAACATAATTTTCACCACCTATTACAGATGCTTCACGTCGTAAAAATTCTTGAACAACTAAAAGATAATTCTTAGCCTTCATTTTTCCGTCAATAAAATAAATTTTTTATTTATCATGATACCCAATCGCACACCAAATTATTACATCTCCACGACCCATTTGACGTCTCTGCTGTGTTACTAGTTCTTTACACTAATTGTGAAAATAATAACTCCATCTATTCTGTCCATCAAGACAAAATCGTTTGCCTTGAGAAAATACTACTTCTTGCCACTCTTCTTTCCATGTTACGTGGTCCTTTGCAAAAGTTATTTGATTGTTTATGTGATTTGTTGTCAAAGGTGGTTTTTGCTGAAGTTTTTTTCCGGAAAGGTGAAAAGCATTATGAATAGATGGTGCGGCAATGGTTACAGCGCTTACATTATAAGCAGGAGGTCCAGGTTCGAAACGAACCTCGGAACATATTTTTGCGTCACGGTAAGGAAGGAGGCGTGAAGCTCCTAGTTAAATGCACTTCGGCGGTGCTCTGTGCCAAGACCGTTAGGTCTTCTTGGGGCACCTAAATAACAAAAAAAAAATAAAAATAAAAAAAATAACTCTCTGAACTGTACGTAAATTGCACAACAAAAGTTGAGTTTCGAAAACCGTGTATTAAAAGTATAAGATTCCAAAAAATACTTTTTTTTTTTTTTTTTTTAATATTTTAGTTTACATTTGTTAGTTCGTTTTTACAATATAATGAGAGTAAATAAAAAATTAATACAAATTATAAAGTAAGCAAATACTACTAACATTTGAAAAACTAGGTATCTGAAAGAAGATCAGTAAGATCTTATCGTCAGAACCTTATACTGGTGTAAACAAAATATTATATTATAAAGTAAATATAAGTACAACAAAATAAAAATAAAATATACATACATATATCACTTTGTAGTATATATAATAAAGTTTAATAAATATTTCCATAATATAAATATTATTGTCAAATTTTGATAATACGGGAGAGAAAAAGATTTTTCAGCTTAACTTTAAAAAGATGCAAAGAAGAAGGTAGATCAAAATTAAAATTAGGCAAAACAATTTTGTTCCAAAGATGGGGTGCACGATAATCAATGCAAAATTGGTTAAAACTTGTTCGACAAAAAGGCTCATATAGAAGGTTGTTATTTCTTAGAGAGTATTTATTGGTAGGTTTTAACTTACTTTTTTTAGTGCTTGCCCAAGCAATATTTGCATAATTCATATAGCTATGAATGAATGCATAATAAAGTTAGGATAAAACTTTTTTATTTATATAGATTCTGGCCTTATAAAGAATTCCAATATTTTTTGAAACTTTAGTACCAACATAATCAATATGTTGCTTCCATGTGATGTTCTCATCAAGGAATACGCCTAAAAATTTTGTGGTGCAATCTCCTTTTATTTCAATATGGTCAATAAAAATATCAGGTAGAGTTGGGGGTAAATAACGTTTTTTAGTTATCGAATGAAAAAGAATCCATTTTGTTTTTTTAATATTTAGGGTAAGTTTATTGCATTTGAACCAGCTAGAAATTATTTTGAGTTCTTCATTCATAGTAGTGAAGAGTTTATTAATATTGTTATCAGATAAATTTAGTATCATCCGCAAACATAATACTTAAAAGATTAGAAGCTTTATACAAGTCATTAATGTTTATTAAAAAAAGAAGTGGCCCTAAAATTGATCCTTGCGGAACACCACATGAAATATCTAAAACATTTTTTTGATAAGGATCGTTAAAAGAAACGAATTGTTTTTGGTTTGTTAAATAACTTTTAAACCACTTCAAAATTACACCATCCACTCCATAATATTTAAGTTTATGAATCAAAATGCCATGATTTACTGTATCAAATGCTTTTGATAAATCCAAAAAAATACCTAAAGTGAATTGGGAATTTTTGAAAGAGTTGGAGATTTCACGGACGAATTGAATGATTGCATGCTCAGTAGAACTATTTTTTTTAAAGCCAAACTGATTTTTATAAAAAAAATTCTTCTCCTTAAAATAAGTATACAATCTATTGTAAATAATTTTTTCTAAGATTTTTGAAAATGTTGATAAAATAGAAATAGGTCGGTAGTTACATATATTAGTTCTGTCTCCTTCTTTGTATATTGGGATTATCTTAGCTATTTTTAACTTATCAGGAAAAACTCCTTGTTGTATTGACGCTCTGAAAACTTTAAAGAGAATATCTTTTAATTGTTCAAAGCATTCTAAGACTATGTTTCCATTTATTTCATCAGCTCCAGGGGCTTTGTTTTTTTTAATAGATTTAAACGACACTTCAAACTCCTCAAATGATAGCTCAGAAGATAAATTATTTGAACAAATGCAATCATCCATCGGTGTTAAAAAGTTATTGAACACAAATTGGGTATTAGGAATTTTATTTGCTAGTTTCGAACCGATATCAATAAAGAATTTGTTAAACTCATGAACTATTAATCTAGGTTCAAAAATATCTTTGTTATCCACTCTAATCACCTGCGGTAGGGAACCTGAGCAAGTTTTTTGTTTTCCACCAATTTCTCTTAATAGTTTCCAAGTAGGGAAGAACTTGCACCCTTGATCCGTAAGCACCTTTGATCCTATAGCGTTATCTCCATACTTACATAACTTATTAAAGAGGGCTGATAACCAGCGTGTTATAAATATTGTATCTTCAAAATTAATTTTGTTTTGGTTAAAGAATAGACCACTATTAAATTTATTTCTAAATAGTTTGATTTTGACGAAAAAAAGTATTTTTTTTACTTTAACAAGGAACCTCACATCTTTAATATTTTTTTAAGTTGAATAGTTTCAAAAAAAAGTCAAAAAAACAAAAACTTAAATTATTTAACAAAAAATTAAATAATTTTGCTTATGTCATTTTGTAACTTAACTATTCACCTCTTGTATGGTTGCTTTTGGTAAGCTATAGAAGAATCTAATATGAACAAAAAAGAATTTTTGTAAAAATGGAGCGGGTTAGCACCCTTGATCCTAATGCGTTTATGCACCTTTGATCCTATGATCAAAGGTGCATACACACACACAAAATGTTTAACTTTTAAAGTAACATGTACAATACGTCATATTGTTTTTAAATATATTTTTTTCTTCTAGAATAAAGCCTTAAAATGAAGATTTTAGACTATTTTGTATTTTTTTGTTCTCCTAAAACTTTTATATAATATAATTGTAAAGTATTCAATATATATATATATATATATATATATATATATATATATATATATATATATATATATATATATATATATATATATATATATATCTGTGTGTGTTTGTTAATAAAGAAGATTTTAGTAAGTAAAAATCTTTTTTTTTTTTTTTTTAAAGTTGATTAAGGTGCCCCAAGAAGTCCTTACGGTCTTATCACAGAGCACCGCGGATGAGCATTTAATGGGAAGTTCACGCCTCCTTCCCAACCGATGTTGCAAAACTTGCCCAGAGGTGGGGTTTGAACCACGGATCTTACGTTTCTGAGGCAAGTGCGCTACCACTGCGCCACGGCTGCTAAATGTTTATCCAAAAATTAGGAATATAGCAAAACTGTATAAATATGTTTCATTTTTTACAGTTAAATATGGTGTATCATAAAAAACGAAAAACCAGTAGACCACCTAGAGGTAAAGTTAATGAGAATGAAATGCGAGCAGCTGTTAATGCAGTTCTTAATGGTAGTACAGTTTATCGTGTATGTAAAGAGAGGGGAATCAATTTAATGACACTTAAGAGATATGTAAGGAAATGTCAATTAAATCCAAATACAGTCTGCAAACCTAAGTTCATTACCATGCAAATCTTTACCAACGAAGAAGAAACATCTTTATCAGATTATCTTTTAAGGGCCTCAAAACTTCACTATGGATTATCAACCAAAACAACGCGAAAACTTGCCTATGAATTTGCAATGACTCTTTCTAAGCGCATTCCTAAATCGTGGAAAAGTTTACAAATTGCTGGGAAACAGTGGCTTCGTGGTTTTATGTTACGTAGGAATGAGTTTTTTTTAAGAAATCCAGAAGCTACTAGTATGGCATGAGCAACTGCTTTTAATTGTTATACAGTCGGAGAATTTTTCACCAATCTAAAAGATGTTCGTCTACGACACAAGTTTCAGCCACAAAACATATATAATGTTGATGAGACAGGTCTCACAACTGTTCAAAAACCAGTTAAAGTAATTGCTAAAAAAGGAGATAAACAAGTTGGAAGGATAACTTCAGCAGAAAGAGGGACATTGGTAACAGTTTGTTGTGCAGTCAATGCAATAGAAAACTCAATCCCTCCATTTTTTATTTTTCCAAGAGTTCATTTCAAAGGAAGTATGATAAATGGTGGTCCACCTGGATGTGTTGGGGTTGCAAACCCATCTGGTTGGATGAATGTTGCAACGTTTTTAGAGTGGATGAAACATTTTATTCAAAATGTGAAATGTTCACCAGCTAATCCAGTGCTTTTACTTCTTGACAACCACGAGAGCCATGTTTCAATTGTGTGTTTAGATTTAGCTAAAAAAAATGGCATAACTATGCTGTCCTTTCCACCACATTGTAGTCACAAATTGCAGCCATTAGATCGGTCAGTTTATGGGCCACTGAAACGTTATTACAATGCAGCCTGTGATGATTGGATTGTATCTAATCCAAGACCGATGACCATATATGATATAGCTTCAGTTGTAAGGAAAGCCTATACACAAGCTTTTACTTTGTCTAACATTTCTGCAGGATTTGCTGTGGCAGGAGTTGAACCCTTTAATCCTAACATATTTTCTGATAATGAGTTTTTGTCTTCATATGTAACAGACTGTCCAGAACCTATTACTGCTAACCCTTTTCCAGGTGTTGTTGATCCAGTTCATGCCCCAGCTTTTAATCAATCATTGATGTCAAGTCTGTCATCTGGTTCAGCTTGTAGTGTATTGCCTATTCAGCCTATATCTGACCCTGGAAGTCAACTATCCAGTGTTTCTAATAATATCTCTCATCAAGCAAGTCTAGAAAAAATTAGGCCATTTCCAAAAGCTGGATCAAGGAAATCCATTAAAGGACGTAAACGTCAGCGTACTCGAATACTCACAGACACTCCTGTTCGAAATGAGTTAAATAAGCTTCAGAAAAATAAAAAAAAAATCTCAGTCAAAAAAGAAAAAAACATAAAATGCAAAATGAGATCTTCATGACAAGAAAAAGAAAACTTGATCTTGAAAGTAATAAAAATAAAAACGTTGAGTCTCAGTAAAAAATAACATTTTTTTCATTAATTTTTACTTTTTTAAGAAAGATAAATTTTTTTTTTTTTTTTTTTTTTTTTTTTTTTAGTATTGTATTTGCCGATTGAAAATAATTTACACTCGTAATTTATAAAAACAAATATTTACATGACTGGGGCTTGAAGAAGACAAAATTCATCTTATCATTAAGCCCCCCCCCCCAAAAAAATGCATATTCATCAAACAAAATATTTTAACAAAATGTAAAAAATAAAATATATAACGTTTAAAATATTTAGTAATTCAAAGAGTATTTATATTTAAGAACTGATTAGTAAAATAAGATGATATATAAGTATTAATATTACAAAAAGAATTTACAATAACTTTTTTTAATAAAAGTTGAAATTATAAAATTTTACAATATTTTTAGTAATTAGTATTTCAAATAATAAAACTTAAAAAATCGTTTGTAAATTCAAAACTTATAAGATAAGAAATACATTTACAATAGCAGACTATTGTTTAGAATATTAAATATAATATTAAAGAGTAATTAGTAGGTTAATTTTTGTTTTTGTTTGCTAGTTTAAAAAGCTTTTTAGAAGAACTTTAATTCATTTTCATGTATCATCAGTAATTGCTTAAGTTTTGTTTTAAACTGGTTTAAAGAATAATTAGATTTCAGCTCATTATTTAATATTGTATTCCACAGCTTAGGACCTCGATTTGCAATTGAGAATTTGGTTGCTGAATAATGTGTTGGATTGAATGTAATTGTTTTTTGAAAATCTGGTAGGGTATATGTGGTTTATTTTTTCAAAAAGTGAATTAAATAACATTGGTGATATTTTTTTATCAAGTTTAAACATGAAGATAAGAATATGGTAAAGGTTTAGTTTATATACATTTAGAATATTAAGTTTATTAAATAATGTTTTAGTGTGAGAGAAACGGTCTACGTTTGTAATTATCCTTATAGCCTGTTTTTGTTTACTAAACAGTTTTTTTACTTTTGTTGCGTTTGTGCTGCACCAAGCAACGTTTGCATAATTTAAGTAGCAATGAATTAAAGAAAAATATAAGTTTTTTAAACAAGATAGATTTAAAAACTGCTTGGCTTTATACAAAACACCTATATTTTTTTGATATTATATTTTCAATTAGACCTATGTGGTCCCTCCAGGTTAAATTTTCATCCAGAACCACACCTAAAAACTTTATTGATTGCTCTCTTTTTAATAATGCGTTATCAATAAAAAGATCAGGAAGTTTTAATGGAATATCTTGTTTTTTATGAAGACGATGGAACAAAGTGTATTTGGATTTATTGATGTTCAAAGATAGTTTGTTTGATTTGAACCATTGGGTTAATTTTTCAAGTTCTTTGTTTACTGTTTGAAATAATTTACTGATATCTTTACTAGAATAAAACAAGTTTGTATCATCTGCAAACAAAATTAAGTTTAAAATGTTAGAAAATTTATATAAGTCATTAATATAAACGAGAAATAAAAGTGGTCCTAAAATTGATCCTTGAGGAACACCACAGGTGATTGACTTATATTCCGTTTTTCCGCTATCATATGAAATAAACTGCTTTCTATTAGTCAAGTAACTATCAAACCAGGACAAATTAGTATTTATTATACCATAACTTTTCAGTTTGGATAGAAGGATTTGATGATTGACAGTGTCAAAAGCTTTACTTAAATCGATAAATACACCTAGGGTATACTTGTCTTCATCAATTTGTAGTAAAATTAATAATAACTTTATTGGTTTTTATTATAGACATTGTTTTGATGACTTAAAAATTATTCTTATACAATCATGGTATACATTTGATCTCGAATCAAGTATACATACATAGGATCAAGGGTGTATATAGGTAGGATCAAGGGAGCATACTGGTATGCACCCATGATATATGTCAAGTATATATGTCTCAATTAGGACATATATCATGTCACCCATGATATATGTCCTAATTGAGCATTCTAAGTTTTTATAATTTTAAATCTACTTAAAATATTCTGGTAAAAAAATGATAATTGAATTATAATAAGGTATAAAATTTGCTATTATGTACTGTTATTTTAGAGATTGAAATAAAAACATATATTCAGTAAGTTGGCCTGATAGATTTTTAGGATCATGGGTGCATACTCTCCCCTACGTTTAGAGTCGTTCTTAACATTTTCAATTAATTTTGAGTAGTAATTCTTTTTTAAGTTTTTACGAGTTTTTTCAAATAGATATTTGTAATCTTTGTATATTTTTTCGTTCAAAGGTGTTTTTGTTTTTAAGTAATTTATATATAGCTTTTGTTTGATCTTAGATGATTTTTTAAAACCCTTAGTCATTCAAGGAGCATTTAAGCTTTTTTGATTTATTATTTTTTCACAGATCGGAAAATTGGCATCATAGACAGAATAAAATGTTTTAAAAAAATTTTCATAAATTTTATTTGCGTCGTCATTAAAATTTATATGCTTCCAATGAAGCAGTGGTAATTGTTTTTTAAACTGTTCAATATTGTTTATATTATATTTGCGTTTACTTAAAAAAAAAATCAAAAGAATAAAATTGTGTATTTCTGACACGAAATTTAGTGTTGAACGAGAGTTTAAAAACCATTTTTCAAAATCAAATTTTCGAGATATTTAACTTTCTTCTGGCTGGGTAAATTTGAGCTGCTAAGGCAACGCAATTTTCAATTTAATATTCTTTTATCTAATAAACTTTAAATAATAAATCATGCAGAATATAAATTATAGTACATAAAGTAATTGAGAAGATTTTACGGAAATAGATATACCAAAAGTTTACTAAATGATTCAAAATTCTTAGAAGCTTCTGTTATTAGTTTTTGAAGAACTAAAGTTTTATACTTCAGAGACTTGCTCTCGAAAGTAAAAGATTACTACATCTATCCAACAACATCTGTAGAGCAGTCCAAGATTATCTGTACATTTTTGTCTAAGATTATCTGTACTTTTTTTATTCAAACAACATATGTCCTATATAAATGGGAAGTTTAATGACCCTTAACAACATCTTTAGGAAGATTTAACTACATCCGGTAATTTTTCTCCAAGTCCAAAAACATCTGGAAGAGTGTCCATCTGATGTAATTACAATTGGAGTAGTTCCACTTAGCTTAACCTGTTGAAGTTATCCTCATTTGATACCAGTATCAACATACTAGAAATTTGAAAATGCTTCATGACTCTTAACTACCTATCTTGAACAACAAATTTAGGAATACCCCCTCACCCATCACAATGCCTCATTGATAACTCACAAGACAGAAACATAGTTTGAAGAAAACAAAATAACAGTATACGTAAGGTCTTGTGAAAGTATGAAGGTCCTAACTTATAGAAAAGTAGTTGATAACCCGGAAAGAAGGACCTCCTTGAAAACAAATATTAAGGCGGAGTTAAAAAGCTTTTTAACAACAACACCGATTGCCGATATTGGGAATATACTTCGTCACTTAAAGAACCAATCATTTAAGTATCCCAAACTTGCCTGCTTCGCCCGGAAAATATTGGTTCTTTTTTTGAAAATTTGAAAAACTTGTTTATATAAAAGAAAAAGAAAAAAAGACAGATGAAGAAAATGCATGACGTGAACAATTTTATAGTTTGGTTCAATTTTACGAATAATAGAATTTGAAATTTTTTTCCTGTAAATTTCCTTTTCCATTGTTGCAGAACAATAACAAATAACAATAACCAAATAAAGTTTTAGTTTTAAATCTGTTTTTTAAATTTTATTTTTATTCTTTAAAAACTTTGGCATATAAAATTCGCCGAATGGTCACACACGAGCAGTGAACGCCTGAGGGAAGAAATGAAGTACATTAGAATAAAGGAGAATTATTTATTAGACAAAGCATATTTTGACAGTTGTCAAGACAAAAATAAAGATTAATAGAGGAATATTTAAAAATAAGTAAGACAAGCTATACAACCAAAACAGTACTCAACCATAATAACAATAAAAATAAAAAAAATTAAAAAAATAATAAAAAACAATAATAAAAAATATATATATATATAAATATAAATAAAAAATAAAAAAATTATTTTATAAATACCAATATGAACTAAAATATACAAGAAATACATAACCAGTCAACAATTTGTAAAACAAAAAACCATTCAACAAATTAAAAATATGCTAACAACAATGAAAGGACTAATAATGGAAAAAAAAAATATTAATGCTAATGTGTAAACATAATTAGTGAAGTGATAAGTAATAAACATCTCCTCAGAGTCGCGTCTATTATTACTGGCGTTTCGATGAGGATCAGCATTTATAACTAGTTTATCCCGTCAGACAAACGTCATCGCCACTTATGCTTTACCCCGCGACTTACGCCTATTCCATACTGCAGTAAAAAAGGACTCACTACAAAACATAAAAAAATTTCCTTTACTATTGTTGTAGAACAATAACAAATAACAATAACCAAATAAAGTTTTAGTTTTAAATCTGTTTTTTAAATTTTATTTTTATTCTTTTGATACATTGCGTAACGATCCAGTTTTTCAATGCATTTTTTATTGATGACGATGTTTAACGTTGCGTATTTCAATGCATCAAACACGGCTCATCGACGTATTTAATAATGTTAAGCGATACATCACCGCTTCCTAGTTTTTTTTTGATACCATAATGATTTATCGTGTATAAAAAAGACTTAGCTTGATATAACTAACTCATCAAAATATATGCTCATCAGATTCAATAACCGTTTCAAAGGTTTTCGGGTCTAGACCTGATCCATTAACAACCCTAACTATACTCATAGTAACAAATCATTAGATTTTTTTTTATATTAAAGATATTTTTGTTACGCAATCGAACGAGTTTCGAACTGTATAATACAACGCTCTCCTACCCCGTAATATCAGAATACCTTTTTAAAAAGTCGAATTTTAATAAATAATAATAATAATAAAAAACCTAAAATCTTTTAACCGTAAATAGAAAAAAATTAACTACCAGTTGTTTGTTAAACAAAATTCAAGATATGTTACATGATTTTTTTAAATTAAGATATGTTTTTATTTTTATGTATGTTTATGATTTTTTAAAAAAAGCATGAAACAATAACAACAACAAAAAAATTATTGGTTATGAAACTTTTATAAAAAGATTTATCTTCCAACCATCCCAAGTGAGTGATCAGTTTTTGGATTAGCACTTATACGTTGAACAGCAACAATAGCTTGATTAATTTGAGTTTGTAGTTCTCGGAGATGATTGATTTGCAGCAAGCGTAGTATTTTTAAAGCTTCGGTTACACCCTCGTCTAAAAAATTTTATTTTAGTAAAATAAAATTAAAACAAAATGTACTATTAAATGCATTATACAAACTAGACAAATATATATGCTAGACAAAAATATATACTAGACATATATATATACTTGACATATATATATATATATATATATATATATATATATATATATATATATATATATATATATATATATATATATATATATATATATATATATATATATATATATATATATATATATATAAAGGTTAGAGTCATTTAGATAATACACATAATTGAGTCAGTTCACTTTGCAGTTGATATATATGTAATTTAATTTATAGTCTTAGAAGCATTCAGAGTATCTGTTTAGAATCAGTATCAGATTTTTTAACTTTGTTTTCAAGGAATTTTGATTATCTGGATTGCAAATTAAATTATTTTAAGTTACTAGTTTGTTGTATAAATAAGGACCCCGATATGATATTGAGAACTGGAAAAGTTTTGTTTTTTTAAAAGGTGTAATAAAGTTTCCTGTTTCTCTTGTGTTATATTTATTAACGTTATTTATAAAAAAGTTATTTAAAAAATGGTTGGTACTTGACCTAATTTAAATTTTAGCATAAACAATTTACTTTGGTAAATGTTAATTTGATAAATGTTAAGCACATTCATTTCTTTAAATAAGGGTTCAGCCTGTGTAAATTCGTCTTTATGGTAGATTAGTCTTATAGTATGTTTGTGACGTCGATATGAAGTTTTCAATTTGGTTATATGCGTACTCGCCCAAGCTATATTCGCATATATGAGGTAGCTATGTATAAAAGAGAAATATATAAGTTTTAAATTACTTTGCGACAGCATAAGTTTTGCTCTATAAAGTAGACCTATGTTTTTTGATATTTTAGTGTTTAAAGCATTTATGTGAGCTTTCCAAGATAAATTTTCATCAATTATAACTCCTTAAAATTTAGTCTCGCGAGTTCTCTCAACTACTATATTTTCTATTTTTAAGAGAGGGTAGAATATTTGGTAGTGTGTTTCTTTGCTGGTTTGAATAAAATAAAGTGTACTTTGTTTTTTCTATGTTTAGGGATAACTTATTTGTTTTAAACCATATATTTAATTTTTGGAGTTCTATGTTTACATTATCATACAGATCCTTAATGTTTGATGACGATACAAATTTATTTTACTCGAAGAGTAAAATAAATTTGTATCGTCTGCAATCATTATAAATTCAAGTTTGCTAGAAACTTTTAAAAGGTCGTTTGTATAGATTAGGAACAAAAGAGGAGCAAGAATCAAACCTTGGGGAACACTGCAAGTTTATTTTAATAATTTAGTGTGGTAATTATCATCTGTAATAACACACTGTTGTCTTTTATACAGGTAAATTTTTAAAGTTCCATTATTTTTGAACGAATTTATATATTTATCGGTCAAGAGAAAATTATAATCATTATAATCAATGAGAAAAATAATAAAAGTAAAAACGTTTCTGTTATTGGATGAACCAATAAAAAACGTTTCTGTTATTGGATGAACCAATAAAAAACGTTTCTGTTATTGGATGAACCAATAAAAAAGAAAGCTAATAAAAAGAAAAAGAAAAATATCAATTGCTCGATTTCGGAACCGACAACGACAACTGCACTTTTTAGTGCAGAAAACCTCAGTGCTTTGTTGATATAGTAATATACATATCTGATTACATATAATATACATATTTGATTGCAAACTACAATCGGTACGATTGTTTTCACGACCATTAAATTTTGGAAACTTGCTTTGCATTAAAATAATTTTTGCTGTTTAGAGGTCGTTTTACTTTGGTCAATTAATGTCGATTATGATTAAACTTAAATGCACACTTTTTTAAATGATAGTTCTTGCTGTCATTAAAAAAATATAAATATTTCAAAGCAATTTCAATATCTTCTTCACTGAAGTCGTTATTTGACATAGGTTGATAATAAAGATTTTGTAATTAGTATAATGATGTAATCATTATATTACAAGAGATAATATTAATATTAGCAGATTAATTTTCATTTTATTTACGGAATATTAACAGAGAGAAATTATGTTTATTTTATTTTAATAAATTTTATAAAGTACAATAAAAGATTATAAATAGAAGAAATTCAAAGAGGATATTTAAACTAAAAGATTTTATGAATTATTGAATAATTTGAGTCAGGATCGGACTGGCATTTGTCTCCCCCTGGTCTGACCTGCATCTATGTCTCCCCCTGGTGCCCGGGGGAGACATAGATGCAGGGCCGCCTCATATATAAAAATTTCCCTATATTACATATCAAGGACCTTTTTTTTTTTTTACATTTAACCCTTAATCACATAGGAAAATAAAAATCATTTGTGTATCTTGATTTTAAGAGGGGCCCAGGACCTTTAAACATAGCAGGGGTCCGGGGGGAAAAAAAACCTAACCATTTATACATTTTTTATTTTATATCAAATATCAAATAACTTCCTTATTTTACAACTAACCATACAAAAACTTAATCAAACAAAAACGATCAGATTCAGAATAAAAAACTCTATTGTATTTTTAAAACATTCATAACTTTATTTATAAGTTTATTATATAAAATTTAGAAGATTTTTAAGTATTCTTTTAAAGAGATGCGACTTAAAAGACCCTTTTTTTTTAATTTTTCTAATTTTTCTAATTTTTAAAATTTTTTTTTTTAATTTTTTAAAATTTTCTCACAAAGATTTTATCAAACAAAAATATCATTTACATGTTCTGACAGAGGAAGTTCTTTTCTATATCTGTTTTTTACATGAATTTTGAACATAAATTTGAAATGTAATGAAATATGTCTGACTTGAAATAAAAACCACAAATTACTGATTTTTTAAGCAAATACGTTTAAAAATAAATTAAATTTTTATTTTTATAAATACTCTACAAATAAAGATAAAACTCAAACCAGGCATTGAAAATCCCAGTGGCACTTCTTCCAACTTCAGAACAAATCCACTTTTACACTATAATAACAAAATAGAGTATGATTTTTACATCATAAAAAACTGCGCAGTAATTTCTAATAAATAAAATTTAGTTCTTTGAGTTTTGTTGGCCAGAAACTATCTTGACAGCTAAAAATCTCTGAAGATTTTTAGCTGTAAAGGCAGAAAGAAATAAAAAATAACAAATTAGTGACCTGCGATAATTACATAGAGATAAAGATATTCAAAATTGCAATCAGGGAAATGTTTTTTACAAAAAATTTTCACTAGATAAGAGTTCTTTGAAGATTTTTAAAGATTATTTAATGACTAAAAAGAATAAATTTTTAGGAAAAAAATTAATTCAAAAATTATTTACAAATTCTTTTTTTTATTTACATTTAAACAATGTCTGTTTTATATTTTATAATTTGATGCTATTCTTAATCATTTTTTATTGCTTTAATAAGTGGCATTTTTTATTGCTAAATAAGTGGCATTCTCTTATAGACATAAAGGATTATGCCGTTTTTTTATTCTTTACCTCATTGACCTACTGCTATAGAAAATAACAAAATACTGATGCTTTTGGTTGACTTTAATGCCTTATGAACATATATACATTTAGATATTTATGTTTTAGCATTCTTAGAAAACAGAAATATGCTTACTCAGAAAACATTAAAAAAATAACCAAGGCAACCAATAAAATGCTCTAAAAATATATATATTTTAAGCGTATAAATTATGTCCTGAAAAAATAATTTTTAGCAGTTAAAACCTTATAAAACTTTTTTCTCTTTTTTTGATAATAAAAACTTGCTTATTTGCATTATTTTAGTTTACTGTGGTTACAAGATCAGGTTGTAAACATTTAAAAATTTCAACTCTTGATGGAGATTTTAAAAATACATATTTTTACATTTAATACAAGTTGATCAATTCAGATATATGCTTCATATTACCTTACATACTCTGTACAAGGGTCCATATGAAACTGTAGATGGTTCAGCATCCATGGGCAAAATAGACTAATTGTTAATCTTGGGGTAAATTTAAAATTTTAGAATAAAAATATTTTATATTTATATTTATAATAACATTATACCTGTGCTCATATGAGTTATTTAAATTTGAAAAAAAAAAAAATTAATTTTGATATTAAAATAGATGTTGTGTTCTTTTAAATATACTTTAGTTCTCTAAATAAAACTTTTTATAAAAAAGCATTAGTATGAGTGAAGTGGCTATAATCTTATAATGACTAGATTACACTACCCTGCAAATTATTATTATTATTTTTTGCTGATTACAATTACAAATCTTAAAATGATTATCAACAAAGCAGAGCTGAATAACTTGAACAAAAATTCCAAAACATAATTATAACCAAAGCAGTGAAGCCTGTCAGTGAGCATTTTAACAGGTCTGCTCTTTTTTGTAAACCCAATAACCAAATCAAACTCTTTACAACCAGTAAAGCAGCAGGTGGTTGTTAAAAAGCTTATGGTTGACTTATTCTTTTATGATACTCTATTGTATATATTATATTAATAAAATACCTGATTGGTATAAGCATGTACACTATATATAGATAAGTATACACATGTTCAAAATATCTTCTTAAAATTTACTTAAAGAAGCTTTTTATATTTATTTTCTGATAATTTAAATCAATTAAACATTTTTTTAGTGTACATTACCTGTTTTTGATTTTCCTTAATAGAAGCTTCGCTTAACCTTTGTTCAATAATACTAGTTATGGCCTAAAAAGAAAAGAAGTAAAAAACCTGTTAAACATTTTAAGCTGACATTTTTAAAATCTGTAGATCTATCATTGCATAAATGATATAATAACAAATATCTACCTGCAATAAAATTAATTTGTCATCATGCTGAGGTATATGAAATAACTTTGCTAAACTATTGATACTAGCTTGAACTGACGGATCATTAACTAAAGTTATTTAAAAAAAAAATTAAATAATTTAAAGCTATAATTAAATAATTCAAAGCTATAATTAAATAATTTAAAGCTAATTACTATCTTATAATACATATAACTTAATTTTAAATCTTAATGACAGTTCTTTCCAACCTTACAATAAGCCTGAAAATTCAATTCATTATATAAATGCTGACTCTAACCACCCTCCTAGCATACTAAAAACTCTTCCTCAACCAATTCTTTAAATAAAAATATTTTTAAACAATCCTTACCTCCTTATGCATTAAATAAATCAGTTTTTATTTGCAAAATTGCTTACCATTCAAATAAAAAGTGAACCCATTCAAAAATTGCAAACAAAACATAATTTAGTACAACCCACCTTTCAGTACTAATGTTACAACAAAAATAGACAGTTGTTTGGATATGGTAGATCAGAACTTTCTGATCAGTCACAAACTTTGCAAGATATTTATTCAAAATAAAATTAAGATAAGCTACTCATGCATACCAAACCACATCAAAACCACCATTAATTCACACAACCACAGGATATTGTATAACCAAGGCACAACTGAAGATCAGTTGGTTATTTGTCAGTGCTTGACAAAGAACATTATTTATCAAGCCACCATGATGTCAAATAAATCAGACTACAAAAAAAGAGTATATTTTGGCTTATCTGAAACTCCAATTAAATCTCGGTATACTAATCACCTAAAATCTTTTAACACTAATAAATATAGATACTGAGATGCCTTAAGAAATTTGGGACAAAAAGTTTACACCCTCTAGTAGGTGAAAAATGGTGAAACGTTGCAATACAAGTTTTTGTATCTTTTTGTATTTTTGTATCAAAAATCTGCAATCTTTGATTATATGTAAAATTCCTCATTTTAACATACAAAGGTAAAAATCTATTAAATAAAAGAAATGAGTCGATTTTAAAATGCAGATACAAGAACAAATCCCTTTTATCTTTTTTGACACTGATGTAGCTAATCACCAGTGTCAATCACCTTTTATTTTATTTTTTGGATGCTAAAACATTTTTCTTTTAGCAACATAAAGAACTCAATACACAGTATATTTTAATTTTAATTATTTTTTTTGTTTTTTATTTTGTTTTTATTGGCTAGTGATAGCTGATATATATAGGCTATATACAGCTACTAATATCAACTAGCTGTCCAAACAAATCAAAACTATATTGTTTTTTGCAAAGCAATACTGTTTCCAAAGTAACGCGAGTTGTATATCCATCTAGTACTAAAATATGAATATCACCAATTTGTTCAGTTTCAATTATAACTATATATGTAAATTATAACTATATATGACCTGGATGTTCTATGATATATATTTATATATATATATATACAGTTTTGGACAAAAGTTTGGAAACGCACTAGAAATTAGCAAAAAATCATTGTTTTATTAGTAACATTATGGTAAAACTTCAATAAATTGAAATAAAATGATTTAACAAATAAAGGACCAACATTAGCAGACTAAAACAGTTCATAGCACCAAAATATTAAAGCATTATCAATATTTTCAGTATTTAGTATGGCCACCATGACTTTTTAACACAGCTTCAATATGATGTGGCATTGAATGAATAAGGGAAAGACAATAATCTGCAGTAATTTCTGTTGTCCAGGCTTGCTTGATTTTGTCCAGAAGGTCAGCTTGTGATGTGGGTTGTTCTCTGAAACTTTCTTTTTCATAGTATACCCTACATTCTCTATCGGGTTCAAGTCCGGAGAGTTGCCCAGCCATGGATCCAAAATCTCAAAACCAGACCTAGTGAGCCAATTTTTTACAGCTTTTGTGCCATGACATGGAGCACCATCATGCTGAAATACATTTGTACCATGTATTGCCATAAAATTCGATAATTTTTTCTTATGAATGTTTTAGTAAACATTGCTATAAACAGTAGATCCATCCAGCATGTCCCATAAACCTGCATGACCAAATGCTGATATAGCTCCCCACACCATCAGTTTCTTTGGTTGTTTTACTGTTGGCAAGACATACTTGTTGTTATATCTCGTCAGAGGTGGGCGCCAAATTCTAGGAGCATAGCAAGCAAACTGCTTGAAGGTTGACTCGTTGCTAAACAATCAGCTTCACGCCAGTGTTTGTACCTGTTACAAAACTCTAAGCGATCTTTAATATTCTTTGCTGATAATTTTGGTTTTCTAGCTGATTTGTAGCTTTTCAATCCATGTGCAAATAATCTTCGACTAATAGTTTTAGTAATTATATTTTTGCAACTTTCCGGGAACCTACTTCTTATTGCCGCTGATGTTATGTGTGGAGAGTTTATCGTAATCCTTTCGAATAAGTTTATCATCGTATGGTGTCGTTTTTTTTTGTCTGCCACTTCCACGTCGTGATAAGTAAATGTTAGTTTCCTTAATCTTCTTGTGTATTTTGTATGCAAATCCTGCTGATATTTTAAAAATTTTTTCAATTTCTCAAAAACTCTTCTGTTGCAATCTCAATATTTTTACATGGGCTCTTTTAGTAGCTCATTGTTAAGGTGTTTGACCCATCCAGTCACAGCTAAAAAATTCAAAATATATACAAATTATGTATCACAATACACTAATAATAACATGACAAAGTACTTTTATAGTTTTGACTTACACAAGAGATATTGAAAGATTATGCTTGTATATCAATTCTATTATTACACCTGCATTTCACACCTGTGCGTGTACAGTACAGGTAAAAACTAATAATATATTTTTCAATAATGCCAAAAACAACATTTGACTATTACATTCATTTTCTATTATCATTCATATTACTTATTTGATAGATTTATTTGTAAATATCATGGAAATTACAACAAATTCAAGTAAGACACAAACTCATTAAATCTTACCTTAGATAATGTTGCAGGCAATTAATAACAACTTGGCTTAATTATACCAATTACTGCCTTTACGTCTGAAAATAAAATTTCAGAGTATTCAAAGATTGTTACACAAGCAACATGGCAGCAAAGCAACAGATTTTTTATGCTAAAATACCAAAGTAATTTTAATTAAACATCTTAAATCAGAAAAATATGTACCTTTTCCAAACTTTTGTTCAAGACTGTATATATATATATATATATATATATATATATATATATATATATATATATATATATATATATATATATATATATATATATATATATATATATATATATATCTCAATTCGAAATTTGCTAATGCAGGAAAAACTGTTAGCATAATGGTAATTTTTTAAGTTAGTCTGCGCGACTTCTGCTATTAAAATTAAAATTAAAAAATAGCAAAAAAAATGGTTTGCATAAATACTAGATAAATAATTTAAAAAAAAAAAACAGATAAAAAATGGCCACATTTCATAAAAGTTGTACAAAAGAAAAAAAAAGTTTTGTTGCAATTTAAAACATAATGCTTTTATTATTTTGGCAAGCTCTTTTTTATGTGCTCGCCAAAGTTTTTTCAGATGAGCGCAAAAATAGTTGACGCAAAAGCACTGGCTTGCTAACGGACAAGACTGATGTACGTATGTATATATATATATATATATATATATATATATATATATATATATAACATCACATTGACGTGTTAATGCATTTAAAAAACAAATAGGCAATGTCAAATAAATAGCATACTGTAAATTTAATATGCATGAGAAATTTTTTAGAAGCATCTTTATGCTTTTAATTAGGTGCATTCATTTTTACATAAAAGATATAGTTCTATTTGTAAACATATCCCTTTACTTGTCTGCTGTAAATTTAAAGTTGTTTAAAAAATATTATTTTGGTTTGAATTGATACTTTTTAAATTTTTCTTATCAACCCTGTATGTGTATATATATATATATATATATATATATATATATATATATATATATATATATATATATATATATATATATATATACATATATATATATATATATATATATATATATATATATATATATACACATATATATATATATATATATATATATATATATATATATATATATATATATATATATATATATATATATATATATACATATATATATATATACATATATATATATACATATATATACAACCCTTGGAATTAGGGTCGGCATTGGCAATGCTGACCTAACTGCCAACCTGGAAGTGTTTGAGGTCAGCAAAAAATTGCTGACCTCAACCTCAACCTCATTTTTCCTGATTCCGAGGGTTGCATATATATATATATATATATATATATATATATATATATATATATATATATATATATATATATATACACACACACACATATATATATAGAGAGCGCTCGCTTCATAAGTGAGAGGTTCAGAGTTTGATCCCCACCACATCCCTGGTAGTACCACGCTCAACTTGTTTCTCCACGCAACGACCTTGTTCTTCAAGATTGGTGTTTCAGAGTGAAAGAGTTGAGAGAGGGTTATAACCACAATTAAGTAGCCTACTAGTCTGTAGTGGCCCTCCCGGGCTTGGGAAAGTGCACAGAAAAATACAGAAAACGCACAGAAAAAATAAAAAACTGCAAATTTATTCAGAATATCTTACTGGTAAGGTTAGAAAACATCTTTTCTTGAAATTGGTCTGATGATGGCGTGTTGTAATGAGAAGCTAAAATAAAAAAAAAAGCTTAATAAACTCAAAAATAAAAAAAACTTTGTAAGTGCTAAAAACTTATTTAAACATCTAACCATAATTTTTCACTACTCAATAAAGTTCATTGACAACCTATAATACTTTAGAGTTATCTTGATATACGTGTTGACTTATATGAAAATTTAAAAGTTCTTATAAAAAAAGCTTTTTCATATACCATAGAGTGATTACTTTTAATAACAAGTACAAACACTTTTAATAACTTACCAAATTAAATTTAAAGCCTGATTATAAAATATTATTGAAGTTTTACCAAATTAAGGAGAAAAATTTGTTAAGCAAATAAAACACTATAAAATAAAAATATGATAGTGGCATAATGGTAGAATGCTGGGTATGTAAACAAAAGATACAGAGATCAAACCCACCATGTCAGTGAAAGTATCACACTCAACATTTTCCCCATGCAACAGCATTATCAGAGTTAAAAGATTGAGAAAGGGGTTGAGAAGTACAACAGCAATTGAGAAAAATAAAAGCATTCATTAACTATAACAGCCTTATTGGGTCTTAAAAAAGTTAAAAAAAAAATCCAGAAATTAAGGACAATTATATTTTTAAACAGCAAATTTTTTTTTTTTAATTAAAAAATGCCTGTATACGGTAATATTTCTGTCAAATTTCCTAACGGTAGGCTCCAGAAAAAGGGAGTAATGCCGCCCAAAGTATTTTCCTAGAATATCTCATAAAATTCTATTTATGAGATCATACATATCTCATATTTGGTATTTATGAGATCTGTATGATCTCATAAATAAAATTTTATGAGATTATACAGATCAAAACACATCAATTTAAGTTCTCCTGTTCAGAAAAGATGTAAACAAACACAATCAATCAATCAATATTTATTTCTGATATATTTAGTATTACATTTCAAGGTTGTTTACAAATAGTACAAACTACTAACATTACATAAACACCTAATGATAATGATTAAAATAGTAATGATGATAATAATAAAAATAATATTTATAATAATAATAATAACAACATGTTATTTTAACAATAGTAATAATAATATAGTAATTAAAATAATTTAAATAAATTTTCCATACAACAATCGTTCTTACATACAAAGTTACAGTTACAAACAGTAATAAACTGACAAAAGGTAACAACTAACGATGACATAAAAACGACTAAAAAAAATTATAAAGATTTAGTAAATATAATTTTCTTATAACAAACAAAATATATTGCAAATAATATGACAAAGTAAATAAATAAAATATAAACAGAAAATATAAACACTGAAAAAATCAAAACAAAACAAGTTACAACAAACATTACAAGCAAAACTAAATATTATGTTAAGTACTTTTGGCAATAAAAACAAAAAAACAACATCAACAACAACAAGAAAACAACAACATAAATTAAAAATAATAAATAAAGAGAACAAAAAAAAAAAAAGTAATAATAATACACGGTAGAATAAAACATATATAACAAATGGTTAAAACAAAAATTAAAATATATAACACTATAAAAAACTAGATGTCACTATTTAAAAATAATTAACAACTAAAAAATAAAACAATAAATGACCAACAAAAAATAACAAGTAAATTTTTTATACGCTAAAAAACTAAAGAAAAATCATTACTACAAGACTGCATAACAGCATAACTAAAAAATAAATC